TAAAGTACTGAAGTGCTCTGATGATCTCTTTTTTAGATTTTTTTAGTGTCTTTGGAGCTGGTGAAACATGCCGCAATTGTCCAAGATAGGGGCTTGTCCGGTGTTACTGCTTTGCTTGTTTGCCACACGTTTCCTAGTCTTCAGAGCTTAGCTTGGATGCAGCTCCAAAGTTTTTCTTCTTGGTTCATCCGCTTATCTTGTGATTCTTGGAAGTTCCTGCATCCAGCAGTAGCATTCTCAGCTGTTTTAGAACAAAGTTTTCAGAGGTCCTGAAATAAAGGATTCTCTCCGCTTCGCAGAAAAGGGCAACAGGAGCAACAGCATATCAGTTGATGTAGACATTTGCTTGTATTTGATATATTAAAAAAGAAAAACACATGGCGCAGAACCATCAGGACGTGTGCAGCTTCACATTTTCCGATGGCCATCTCAGTTTTATTGCTGCATGCTGGTAGAGGGCTAGCCAGCACTGGGCATGCCATGCGTGTGGTACCCAGACGTGCCAACTTGCAGATCCTTCCAAGTTCAGCTAAGCATTTCCCTCACCGCTAAGGCCCTTCCTACCCTTATGCGAGGTCTGGACCTGTGGGGCTGCCGCCGTACTGAGATATTGTGGGCGTTCTTACGGCACTCTTACAGCATTCTATGTCATTCTATAGCATTCTAAAATGGCTTATGATGCATTATGATGCATTCTTGATTTGTTCCGTGGAATTTCTGCACTGTTCACACTTAGGCCTCAAGGCCAGCCAGCGCCTGGCCCTTAGAAGTGCCGGAGCTCGTTGATTGGTTGTGAGGCTGAAACTCGCTTCTATATTGCTTCTTTTGCTGATTTATCATGGATTCTTCTTGTCCGTGGTGTTCCATTCTTCTTTGTTTCTATGTATTCCCTGTAGCAGTACTTGTCAGGGTCTTCCTCCAAACCGGTGTGATTTTCAACCCCGATCTTCCGAAAGCCGTTTGAATGTTTGTTTGAAGATGTTCGAAGATGTTTGAAGCACTTTGCAAGGTCAACTGCTCGTGGATCTGTCTCCACATCCATCAGGACTTTTCAGCCCGGACATCAAACTGACACCACCATGGCCACCGGTGGAAACTGTGGCAAGGGGTCTTGTTTTTAGAATATGTTTTTACAAGAAGATTTAGGATGTACATAGTACATGGATGTACATTGGAAGTGTGGAGATCATGGATCATGGAGATCATTTGAATTTGACCCATCAGCAAAAGCGCAGGCCTGGTGGTCGTGGCACCTATGCCCAGCCTGGGGAGCATCAAACTCGGAGATTGGAGATTTGTGAACCAGTTGGGAAACGAACATATGTACACAATTGAACACTATTGAACACATACGAAGGATGTGTGCGTTTCAATTTCTTACAGCTAGCGAAGTCTTGGCAGCGTGCCTTCGCAAAGGTAGGGTCCAGGTAGGGTCACTTGATTGTGAGCAGGTCTGTTTAGTCCCTGCTGTTAAAGATTGTAAATTGTAGAACAGCATTTTATAAAGTGGATTCAATATGTTGCATTCAATATGTTTCAGAGGAAATCACCTATGTAATGCTATGTATCTTGACTTCATCAGATCTCTCAGTTGTGTCACGAGGCAAGCGCGGCCCCCTCTGAAGCCGCGGCTTCCAGGGCCCGCCACAGCCAGACCAAAAGGCCCACCTTCCGGGCCCCAACCACCATCTTCTGGGCCCCAACCACCATCAGTCGGCACCCCAGAGTCGCATGTGGGATCCATTCTGAGACCATGACACACCTGAAGAAAGATTCTTCGAGCTTCGACCTGGAAGATTGATGAAGATTGATGAAGATTGAAGATTGCACAGAAACATTCTTTGTTGAAGTTATCATTTCAGTGAGGTCCCGCCAGAACCTGCGGCTTTGGCCTGAGCTGAGAAGCTGTGACATGGTGGACCATGGTGGACCATGGTGGACCATGGTGGACCATGGTGGACCATGGTGAACCCATTTTGACCATCCGATGTGCCCCGTGTTGGGTGACCTCAGGTGCCGAAGGCGGCAGGGTTGGAACCTCGACGCCACGAATGTTGTGCACCTGCACCTGCTCAGCTGCACCTCTTGAGGTCGGATGGGCTCAAACGCAAGGTGGACCAGGCATCCCATGACAGCCCAAGTCTCCCAGTTTTGCTCAGCTTTTGCTCAGCTTTGTGTACTTCCGTTGATTTGCGTTGGTTTCCGGTGGCTTCGAGGTGTCAGGAGGCGTAGTTCTTCCAAGTGCAAAGGCTTGGCTCCAGAAGTTGCGCCCTGCACCTCTTTTCAGTCTGTAAGAGTAGTGTAGAGATGTGTAGAGTAGTGAGATTTGTCTCCTCATGACCTTTTCTCTCAGGCGCCTAATGCGGGAAATGCAGCCTCTGCCCAAGCCATGTGATGCTTGAGATATCTTGAGACATCTTGAGACATCTTGAGACATCTTGAGATAGACGAGTTTGAAACAAAGGCTGTGAGCCGAGTCCAATGGCTCTGAAGAGTTCCGATAGCATCTGCCCTTTGGTTGAGGTTGGCAAAGGCACTGCAAAGGCTGGTAAATGTCCAACGACACATCAGACAGCTTAGAAACGAATAGCTAACAATAAACGTCAGGCAGGGGTTTGTCACGGTGCAATCTAAATTAGCTGTGATGATCATGCAGACGCGTTTACAGTTTCTTGAATCACCAGGGAGTGAGCCCACCGCCTGAGGCCCCGGGCAAAGGCCCGCTGCTTCATGATCCAACAAAATGGATAAAGTAAGGGGAATCAACTTTGAATAAGCGTGATCCATCAATATCAGATGTCGATGACTTTTTGCAGTGGATGAAGGATAGTAGAGGATAATAGAGGATAAGGCGGAAGAGGAAAGGATTGGAAGGATGGGAAGGATGGGAAGGATGGGAAGGATGGGAAGGATTGGAAGGATTGGAAGGATGAAGTGTGAATATGTGTGAATCTCATTGCATCTCAAGATGATGTGAGATTCTCCTGAGGCGGCCAGAAAGGCACCGCTGCTGATGATTCCGAAGCCTGGGCTGCGAAGAAGACTATGGCTAGGGCCTTTTTCAAAACCTTTCTATATAGTGTCATTTGAGTCATTTGCAATTCTCAAACAATATTCAAACATAAGTTCTATATTATAATAATTGTAATATAAAGTTCTTCAATGTTCTTCACAACTTTGAGATGAACAAATACCGCCAACGATACTCGACCCATACTGCCATGGTCCGCCAAGAATTTCTCTGAATCGTTGCATTTGCACACCCAAGGCCCTCACGCCCAAGGCTTGACAGTGAATTAATGTGAATTCTGTTAATTAGATGCCAGGGATTCCACGGCATTCCACGATGTCTCGACATGTCTGAAATCATGTGAAGCCATGAATCTTTGAGCCTTGTGATTCTTGGTGCACTTGGTATTTTGCATGTGGGATGTTTTTGTGAGGCGAAACCTGCTCCTGCAGAGGTTTGGTGCCAGCATTTTGCAGCCACGGTTTTGCTCCTGTTTTGGTCCGCAAAAAGCCGACATGCTTTGATAATTTTGATATGTGGCCAACAAGACACTCCCAAATGTTCTCCAGGCGAGGGAGACGCCTGCTGCAGGTGCTTAAGATTGAGGATGATGGATGTTCTGAACTTGGATGTGGAATAACTACATGGGTTAACGGGTGAGGCCAGCCCAGACCTGCGAAGTTTCAGCCTGCCTTCAAGAGCAAGGTGGAGCCAAGCTCGGTTTGACATTCTTTTCGTTTTCCCTGATTCACTTGAGCTTAATTCATACAGATCATACAGGTACCATCAGGTACCAGGATTGAGGTGTCCAATCCTCATGAACGCGTCTTGAGATTCATCCGGTACTAATCCGGTTCCAAATGGTTTTCGTGCCCACGGGCCCACGTTTCAGTCGGGTGATATTTGTGCGTCGCCAGCCTCCGGAGCCGCCGACGGAGCCTCCAAATGGAAAAGGTGCAGGTGGTAAAGGCCTGACGGGACAACAGCGGACAACATCGGACAACATCGGACAACCACTTCACAGCAGGTTACAACATGTTACAGCATGAGATCTGGTCAGTGACTGGTATATTTTGTACATGTAACATATGTAACATGCCACAAATATGCCACAAACATTCTGCATCATTCTGCTATGGCCATCTCAGAGTGTCAGGCAAAGACTTCGGCAAAGATTTCGGCAAAGACTTCGGCAAAGAGTCCAAACCAGGGCAGAAGGTGTATCTCCCAACCGTCCCAACTGTCCCAACCACGAAGTGCCACGCAGTACCACGTTCAAAAAGGAACCGCAACACAGCACCGAGCCATTGATGAAAAGCTTAAAGGCTATATTAAACGAAACATATTGCGAAGATTTACGAAGGTTTACGAACCATATGGGCACATTGTGAACCATGAAAAATGCAGCTGCCTCGGACTTGACCGGGAGGCAACAGGTCCTACACAGAAAGGAGTCCAGAAAGGTACCCAGAAAGGTACCCAGAAAGGTGCCGGGAAGGTCCAGAACCCAACCACAGCAGACCTCCTCCGCAGTTTAACATGTTTGAAAAGCAACTTATTTTGATTAGCTTATGATTATGGCATATTTTGACCGAGAAGGTTTCATTGTTGGGGTCGTGCATGTGATTTCTTTATGCTCCGATGTCCTGCGATTGCTCTTTTGCTTTGTCTGAAAAAATGAAGCTGCAAGCTGGTTGGTTCAAGAAGCTCAGTGAAGCATGCAAGAAATCATCACCCTTATGGAGTCATTGCTGGAACTGCTCTCCGGCTTTATTCGCCGGGAGTCAAAGCCACACAGATGCACAGCCCATCAGCTGCAACATAATACTGGAGCAAAGTCCCAATGCAAGTATAGAAATTGTGAAGAATCTGTAAAGATATGTGAAGAATCTGTAAAGATATTGAATCAGATTCAAGTTTCGCCAAGTTTGGATAAGACAAAGGCACTGATCCCAGGCACTGGTCACATTGGTCGCCAAGTGCCCGGGCCATGGCTTCACCGAAATGGAACGCACTGATGACTGAAGGCGAGAACCAGAGACATCCAGAGACACCGTGATATGGTGAGAATATCAGGAGATGGCGTAATCGAGTGTATACTGTAAGACACTGCAACATGCTGCAACATGCTGCAATACAATAGTATGGCATAGTATGACGATGTGTAGCAGTTCACAATATAATTACTTATGAAGGGCTGCCGCCGACCCCGGAAAACAATATTGGCGTTGAAAGGCGGTGACGGTCACAAACCAGAAGCCCTGGTCGAACACTTTGGATGCGTCTGTTGCGGTGCATGGATATCGATCCCTGTCAAATCCACCATTTATAGATGTTGTCTTCCCTGAGCTTCTTTATCTATGGTGATATACTGGAGGGTATCACCGGGGGCTTTAAGGATGTCCTTTAAGGATGTGTTACGCGCACGTCCAAAGCTTTGGCCGAGTACGCGGGTGATACCTCATGATACCAGTTGAAAGGTTTGATTTGGATTTGCCTGAATATAGGGTACCCCTGAGCCCGCACGGTTTAGAAAACCATTTTCAGTACTGAAATAGCCAGTTGGGGTAAGTTCTGCATGTGAGGACACATCCATTTGGACAGTTCCCACCTCCAATTGAACAGACCCATGGAATGCATTACCTTATCTTCGACACAAAGCGGGCACACACAGGAACACATTATGATTATTTGATGCAACACTTCTGCACTTTGTCATGTGTGCCACTGATGGACAGATCCTGCCTCTAATGACAAGTTTCGCCAAGGCTTGACATCCCTTCTCGATCTCTGCTGCTGATAGCACCACTTCCCGCTTCTGCTACTTTTGTTGCTTTTAAACTGCTGCCGCAGGCCGCCAAAACGTACCCCAAGAACATGTTGTACCGAGGTTGCTTGCCTGCTGGTGCTGCTGCTCCCGGTCCTCCTGCTCCCGCTGCCGCTGCCGCTGTCGCTGCTGCTGCTGCTGCAGCTGCTGCAGCTGCAGCAAGCTTCCAAAAAGTACCCCTGACTACACCGAAACACACTGTCACTGAAGGATGGGTTCCGCCTCTTTGAAGAAGCAGGGCTAGCCTAGCAGAGAAGCGGCGCAAAAGTAGCGAGACAAATCATCATTGGAGCCGGGATCTGTCATTCAGTGGCACGCTGTTTCGGTGTGTCGAGGGATACGTTTTGGCGGCCTGCAGCAGCAGTTTAAAAGCAACAAGAGTAGCAGAAGCGGGAAGCGGTGCAAAAGTAACAGCAGCAGAGATCGAGAAGGGACGTCAAGCCTTGGTGAAACTTGTCATTGGAGGCAAGATCTGTCTATCAGTAAAGCATGTGTGGGAAGCGGTGCAAAAGTAGTAGAAAGAGAGATCCAGAAGGGACGCTAGACTTCGGCACCTGCTGCTGCTGTTGCAGCCGCCGCGGCTGCTGCTGTTGCTGCGCCTGGTGAAGCTGCAGGGCGCAGCTGGTGCTGCTGCAGGCCTCCAAAAAGTACCCCTTGCCACACCGAAACACAATGCCACTGAAGGGCGGATTTCGCCTCCAATGATGATTTGTCCCGAGGTCTAACGTCCCTTCTGGATCTCCCTTTCCACTATGTACTTTTGCACCGCCTCCCTGCCAGCACTGCCGCGGCTGCTGCTGTTGCTGAGAAATAGTAGCAGTAGTAGGAGTAGCTCTTTTTCCCTTGCGCGCCCCCCTTGCGCAGCCGGGGCCGGCGGATATATTATAACATGATATAACATGTAGAAATGCACTTATGTGTCACAATCCAACCTGAACAGAGATTGGACACGGCATCGATTCGCATTCCTTTGCAACTGCAACCTTCAAGGGAAGCTGGGCAGGCCTTGAGCTGCTTGAACAGCTGAAGCGCAGTTTTTTGGAGCTGCCGGACACTCCCGTGTTGTGCCGCGTGATTTCTATTTATCCATTTTATCAGCTTTGCTGGCAAGAATGGCCAAAGGAGATCTAGAACAAACAAAAGGCCTTCCAAACCAGGCCTCTAACCCAGGTACTTGCAACGTACTGATAAAAAACTTCATTGGAACATGGTGATGGTTTTGAAGGTTTTTGGTTTTCTCTCGCTTTGAGGTTTTGATGTATTGATTTGACAGTAGCAAGCAGGATGAACGAGATGTAACATGTCCAGGAAGATTGCCAGATGCGCAACCCTGCTCAGCTGCGGAACGGACTTTGCGTTGACAGTTGGCTAGGCGGGAACATGTCAGAGTTTTGATTAAAAACTCCATACTGTTGAAAACTTGAAAACCATTTTTGAAGAGCAAAACATTCAGAGTTCAGAGATGTTTAGAGGCCTCTTGGAGCACGTTCTGCAGCAGGGAGCGCCAGAGGTTGTGCCTAGCGGAGCGCGTTTTGCACTGGACGTCTATGGCCTGGAATCGACTCTGGAAATGGAGGGAGAGGCGGGTTGAGAGGACCCGTGATTTCGGAAGTGCTGAATGAAGCTGCAAAATCAAGGCTTCTGGAAAGGATCTATCATGATCTATGCTCTCTTTATCTCTATTGATCTCTAATATTTCTAGAGATGTCTATTGCACATTTGTTGAGTGTGATATGGTGTCTTATTCGATGAGATGCCCCAAAGTCGATGTTGTTTTGCTATGTCAATGTTTTGTTTAGGTGATTTGATGTGATTTCTTTGAATTTCCCTGGGTTCACTGCCGGTGAGGCTGTCCAAGTGCATTGCATCGCGACAGAACCCACGTTCTTTGGGAATTATGCGCCTCCAGACGACCTGGATGGACAGATCATTGACCTGGTCTCTTTGTCTAAAATTTCATGGTGACACCAATGACGACCTTTACGACAGGATCACATATTATTTACTACACTTCAGATCATGTCAAACACTTATATACTTTTACTACCTTACAATGACAATACCTTACATATCGGTTTTTGCAGACCAATGGCCTTTACATGCCTTTACTATTTTCACATATTTTCACATCTTTTCACTATAATTATTCACTGAATCTTCACGTGCATCTTCGCTGCAGTTTGCACTGGAGGCAGGGCCAGGGGCCAGGGGCCAGGTTTGGGGCCTATGAAGCGCACAGCCTTGAGTCGATTGAGCATCGATGAGTCGATTGAGGTTGCCACGCGGTGTCCCAGCTCAGCCCGGTTGCAGCTGAAGCCGCAAGGGCTGAGTTTCGCACGAGACTTGGCGCGACACGCGGAGGCACGCAGAAAACTTCCGTGAAACGATGGGAGCCTTCACGATGTTCACATGCATCTTCTTCAGATTTCTTCAGTAGCGAAATGATGCGACATGGTCATGTGCAAATAGTGGACGTATGACGACGGAAGAATGAGTAGATTCGAGAGCCAAAACCTCAAGGATTTGCGACATCAGAAAGGTGTAGAAACGGAGATGTTTAAGGCAATGAGAGTGGGACTGTGGGATATCGTGGAACTGGTTAAAACATGTTAAAACATGTTAAAACATGTTAAAAAATGTTAAAACTGTTTTGAATAACAGCCCTTTCCTCCCCTGGATGCTTCCCCAGTGAAGGTGAGAGCCTGGCAACAGAAGATTGGCGCCCCTTTGATCCAAAGTGTGAGTGATGTCGATGTCGATTGATATTCTTTGGATTGCCATCCTGTTGTTAAATATTGTTAGATGGTCGTTTTCTTAGGAGCACTGCTTTCTCAAGTGAAGAACTGATGGGGTTGAGAATTGCTTGCAGCTCGCATGTGGCAAGTAAGATGGTTTGAAAGGCAGCACCTGAAGAAGCTTCTGAAATATGCTGAAATAATCTGAAATAGGAGTGCTTGTAGGAGGAGTTTCCAATTTAAGAGCAGCATGTCCAGCGTCCTGAATCTACCTGGACATCCTGCTTTTTCACTCAGGATACCTGTACCGTGAACTCTCTGGGGTTGGTGCCAGAAGATATTGCCAATCTGAATTTCACACCTGGTGTGGAAGTCAATTTAGCATTACCAGGAGGAGGCAGGATGTTTGCCCGTTTTTGTTATCTTTTTTTTAAATTATCTTTTTTTGCAACATTTTGCAACAAATTTTCTTTGGTTCCCACTCCCGATACCACTGCTAACATGACGCCATACAGGTGCCAAAAAAATGTGCCATTCTTTCGTTCATGTCGCAGATATTCGCAGGCGAAGTGCGGAAGAGTCCGCAGCAAAAGGTGGTGCTCTCTGACCATTTGCCTATCGCTTTCACAGTGCAGTGGGTCGCTTTGAAAAATGTGGCTTTGGATTTTGGGATTTGATCTTCAAAATGCTTCAAGTTATGATATCAATCGATTTGTGATTCCATCTTACTTATCTTACTTATCTTACTTGAGTCCTGAAAAAAAAGATCCCCAAGTTTGACTGATTTTTTCACATGAGCCTATGATGTGGGATAAAGATTGTGATTTCATCCGCACAATTTGGGATACCCTTTTAATGTAAGGGGGAAGATGTGAAACTAGTCAGACTCCTCAGCCAATAATTAGTTGTTTTTCAGGGTATATGACGTTTGCAAAGGTTTTGATACCAATGATAGAGTCAACTTATGGGGTGACACAGAAGAAATACCGGAAAACCAAAAACGAAGAAAACCAAAACAAGTTCGATCATTTTGGGTCATGATCCACAGCTGTGCAAAGATTTTACCACCAGAAACATGGCTAATGTCACCGCGATGCCGGTGCTTCCGGCTTAATTAGGAAGATGGAGAGAAGCAACACCAGCTCTTCTGCACGCATCTTGGCATCATGGGCTGCGAATCGTCGAATCGTCGAATCGTCTCACAGATGAATCTACAACACAGAGATGCTTTCACGCCCCAAAAGTCACAAAAAATATTGCTGCAATTACTGATCACCAAAAATGCCTGCGCATCTCGGCACAATCGGCTTCCTTTGCAGACATCACGAGATAGCATGCGATCCACGCGAGATCCTGTCGTCCGTTTGCTTTTGTCTGAATCCGAGGTCCATGAATATGCTTGCTCAAAGGTATTTGGACTTCAATTTCTGGCTTCCAGTCTGCAAAGCTACTCCTGTACCGAGCAGACCGAGCAGACATGAGCAGACCGTCAGACTCTAGCGACTTTGGACTCAGGGTCGGAACTGAGGAATGCTTGCCCCCATGAGGACTTGGAGGACAGCACTTTGATATCGATATTCTTTGATTCTATGCAGTCAGTACATGATAGTACATGTAAATGCAACAGATATGGGAATGACCACAAACGTGACCACAAAATGTCCAGATGTGATGTTCAAGATATAACAAGCATATACGAAACATATCCAAAACATAATGTCCACGTGATGTCCACGTGATGTCCACGTGATGTTGGTGTCACCCTGCAGGGGCTTTGGCAGATGGCCTCCAGGCTCCGCGCTACAGCAGACAGGCGCGTGACAAACGGTGCACGTGACATCGCGTGACATCGCGTGTCCCGTGGTATATCTGGCACCCAGTCTGGGTATATCTGGGATTATCTGGGTATTCATGGGTATTGCATGGTATTCCACTGTTCGTTGCATTTCGCTGCACAGCCTATTGGTACTGCTTTATTTCGCATCCTTTTTGAAGTCTCGACTTCCCCTAAGGTTGCAATTATGGTAGAAATTGGCTTTGAGTATTTCTGACCCCCTAGGGCCCCTATGCCTTGAAGCTTCTCAGATTGCGGCAGGAAGACGAAGTGGTTGCCGCAGGAGTATAGCAACTTAGGCCGAACTCCGGGCCTGTCTGACGAAGATTTAGCAGTGGCAAGTGACAGCCCTCTCATCAGCAGGAGGCTCAGAAAAGGTTTGTGCTGCTTCCCAACACCATGCAGTGAAGTTTCAAGGGGCTTTGATGTATGATTCGGCCGACCTTGTTCTACTGCGTTTTGTTGGACACTGAAAGCAAGTTTGGTTTGAGATTGTTTGAGCATTTTGAGCCATGGAGTTGAAGAACTTGAACAAAATACGAACAAGCTGCATTTTTGTGTGGGAAGCTGCAGCTCTGTGTGTTGTTGATCATTAAATCACTTCATGTGGGTGACTCTGCCAAGACTGGGAGCGCGTCAACCGCTGGCTGTGGCGATGGACTGACGTCAATTTGGCACGTGCAATTTACAGCATTCTTTCCATTTCTTTCCTATCCCGAGACAAATTTGATATATCAGATGCATTCAAATGTATTCAAATGTCAAGATGTTAAGCGTGAATTTGGAAACTCACAACATTCGTAGCATGAGAGTTTACTTTCCACATCAACTAAATCAACTTTGAGCATTTGAGCTTTTTTGCATCTTTTTTGCTCAGAGTTGCCTCAGCTGCCTATCCTGCCATTCTTTCAACCCTTGCAGTGCCCTGCGCCTTGCAGGATAGCACGAGTACAGCGGGAGGCATCCAAAGCTCAAGTGGCAGGCCGCAAAGACAGGAAACCCAAAATTCAAAACCTGGAAGCAGTGTGTATTTCTATTATTTTGCATGATAGTATATATGATAGTATATGATAGTATATAGACAGAATACTTGTATTTACACGTTGTATAAAAGTATCATAAAGTATCTATACGTGCAACATTGTGCAAAGCGCATGTGTAACACTTCGTAACTACTAGCTGTAGAAGCGGATCCTTCCCAAAAACGGATTGTCAAAATATGTCAAAATCTGTGAAAATGAAATCTAAGTTTGGAGTGAGCAAGCGGTTTCCCTCAGAAAATGGAGGGAACCGCCAGCAGAAAAACTGTAGAGTCGCGACAGGCAACTCTATGGCGCCAGATGCTGTGCGCCAGGGCGTTTTCGTCCAGCTCTTGATGTCATTGGAAGACTCAGAACGTGCCTTGATACAACGCTTTGACGACAATCTGTGCAGAATGTGCATTGGGTGCGGTCACAGTGTTACCCCGGATGACATGATTGACATGGACGATTGGAATCGATATGAATGGATAAGGTCCAGACCTATTGCTGCTGCAAGAATTTGGTTTGGAAGAGCTTGGCCCAGATGACCTCCAACATCTTCAGGAGAATTGAGAAAAACTTTGCCAGTTTTCAGTAAATCTCAGATGCTAAAACGATGGCTTTCGATTCACGGCCATGGTGAATCCCATTTAGAATGCATGGCTTTGATTCATATTTTGCGTGTGATTTTTTGTGGTGTACGAAGGTGCTTTTGGAAAGACCCAGCCGATGGAAAGGCTTTCTATGACCCCAAATGCCAGGAGTGTTTGGCAAAACAGCGGCCGATGCTCCGTCCTCTTTTGGAGTGTTGCTTGGCTACGATTGAAACATGTTGGAACGTTGTTGGAGGAATTCCTTGGTACCACAACTTTATCGAATTCCATTGGTTTCACCATGCAAACTTGCTTTCTGCCTTGGGCAATACCATTGGCTGATTGCACCCGAGGCTACGAGCTAGTGAATTTATCCCCAAAGCTTGAAGTACGACGAGCTTGGAAATGCAGTTTCAGTGACACAGGCTTGGTGGGAGATGGGGGAGTTCTTGAAGCATTTTGAAGCATCCTGAAGCAACTTGAAGCCAACTGTAAAAGGCCAAAACTATAAAAACTGATGTACCTTCAGTGTCTTCCCACTTGACAGCGTCTGATGCAAAGTCCTTTTGCATGAACTCAATGAGCCAAAAAAACAGCTGTTTGATTTACCAGGGATTGCAGAGGTAGCATACTGTTACACTGTAACCACATTTAATTAAAGGTGTTACTTGCAGACTATACAAGCTATCCAGCCTATGCTTGTATACATCGTTTATAACAGAACAAGAGCAGTTTGAATCGGTAGAAAAATCATGTTCACGAAAATATCAGATATTGAGGATATGAATAGAGTATATGGTATGTTCTCTGCTCTTTCTGTTTGTGGACCTGCCCCTTCTCATTCATTTTCATTTCACCTGCTCAACGGGTCTTTCCTCTTTTCATTCCCGTAAGTTTTCCTGATCTCACGTCCAAATTGCACGTCTTCGGCTCCAGATCTTCAAACTGATATTCCTTGAGCTCAAAAAGATGTATTTTCCTTCTTTGAGCTGTAAGAAATATGCGTTAGCCTTTCCATCCTTTCCATACATTCCATTCATTTGTGGCCACATTTCTTTCCCATAGCCTGTCTTGGGACCATGTTGGGGTCACATGCCGGGCCTTGTATTTCTTCCAGCCATTCACCACTTCTCATCAAAAACCCTGCCAAGCACATGCTGGCAAAAAAAACATGAAGGCTTGACCATGCTTGTTGACGAAGGGGCAGTAAACGAATGGGATGAATCGCTTGCAACAGTTTTTGATACGATGAGGAAACGCAGGTTGATATTACTTACAGTTTGCCCACAGGAGAAAGGACCTGGGCCAGCGACATTTAACTGCAGGAACACCCTCTGAAAATAGTCAAGAGAACTGGCTCATGGGAGGCCTGTTGCTGGCCAAGAAGAGCCTTTTGGACAAGTACCAGCACAACCCTTAGAGCTCGAGGGAAGCACTGAAAGTGTTGCACTGGAAGCCTGAGCATGTGTTTGCAACATTTTGTGACCATAATTTGTGGCACCATTGAAACACACACACATACAATTTGTTGCAAGATGTCATAAGCAACTGAGGTTTTCCCCTTTGAATTGCGCAGCGAAGGGCCAGAGATGTGAGCTGCAGCAGATCTACACAGCACCTTTCAGGAATGTTTACTTCCGGTGATGCTTTTCTCATGCCCCCAGTGTCATTGTTTTCACATGTTTTCACACATGGCATTTGCCAACATCATCAACAACGCCAGCTGATCAACTTTTCAACTTAGGCCCGTTCTTAACATTTCTTAAGATTTCTATGGCATCCTATGGCATCCTATGGCAACATATGGCAGCGGGTTCAGAGTTTCCAAATTCCAAGGCAAACAGCGGGAAGCCTATCGTTGGCGCTCAGCTGCAAGATCTGCAAGGCCGACCCTTGGCCAATCTCTTTGGAGTCGCCAGGCCTGCAATTGGTTTTTACCATCACCATCTTTCACCATCTTTGACCCATGTTAAATATCTTAAATATGTTAAATATGTATAAATATGTGAATTTCTGTTCGGGGTCAAGAAAAGTTACAAGGTGTTCAACTCTTCAGTTGTGATTTTGCTCGAACTTTCTCAAATGTTGAGTTAGAAGTGCACTAAAGTGCCTATGTGAGAATGCTATAAAAACTTGAAAGGTGAAAGGTGCTTTTTCTTTGCTTAAACGCGCCCTTGTGCCAAGGTGCACGCGGAAAAATCCAAAACAGTTGCTTTGCTGAAGCATAGCACGACAACGGTTGCATAGTTTTACCTTCCAGCCATGGTTTCAGAGCAAGAGTCATTATTTTCTGAGCAAGATCTTTCTTCAGCGCGTTCCACATGTTCGCATTGCCGTGTCTGTTTCGATCTCAGGAGGAGGTCCTGAAAGGGCTCTTCAGATTTGCTGCTTCCATTGCAGACGTGCCCACATTGGTCAGGGTCCCAAGTTTTCGACATATTTGGACAATTTTGGACATACTTGAAGCATCTTGAAGCATCTTGCAGCATTTAACATCATTTAACCACATTATTTCCACCATCTGGCCTCCCCGATCATCTCACTCTATCCGATCCAGAAATCCAAGGTGGTGGGAGATTTCAATGCTGTGCTGAGAGCACCGAGTCAGTCAGTTTGTTGGGGATACTTTGGCACAGCCACTGCTTGAGGTTGTGACTGTGCTACTAAAGTAGCGTTTCAAGTGTCCTTTTGCCACATTTGAAATCCTCAGGATTTTTGTCTGGAAATCTTTACATTATGCCATGGGCTGCTGCACAGCTTTAAAATGGAATGCCCTGGCTTTCGCCGCACCAAGTGTCAGTGATCAAAAACCACTGTGATACGAATTTGTTGAACAACCCCCTGCATTTTTATTCCAGGCTTTTGCTTTGACTATGTATGACTTCGCAACCGTAGCACAAATCCGTTTCGTTTTTGATCATGATACTTTGGCTGACGGGCTGCAGTTTTTACCGTGCTTCCTGCCACAGGTGTTCCTTGTTTTCAAAACCCTTTTGGCTGAATTTAGGAGCAGTTGAAAAACATCAACAATCGCTAAGCCATAGCTAAGCCGCTAAGCCATACTAAGCCAAGATGTTTAACACCATCGGTTGCGATGGAAGCCGGAAATTGAGAAACAAGGAACCTCCCTAGGGTAGGTATGCGAGCGAATATCGCAGCGGAGAGCTGGCGCCTTTGCGCCCGAAAAGATTGAAATCGATGCTGAGGCATTGATGTTTTTGTCAGATGAAGAATCAATTAGAATCAATGCCTTTGGGCCTTTGGGGCTATGCATGCTTCGACTAGCTGCATTTCCTGAAGTCTTTGTCAATTGACTTTCTCTTCCAATCTCCCCACCCCCTCGCCTTTCCCCAATCCGACTTGCCAAGCTTGAGCTGAAAGGCCCCCGAAAAAGGAAAGGCAGATGACGGAGGACGTCAGAGAACTATTCTGTTTTCTTTTTCCACAATGCATCGGAGATGGTTTGAGTGAAGAAACTAGAATGGATATTGCCTGGACAACTCATTCCAAAACGGAGATAAGCACGCCATAGCACGCTATGAAGGCGTGAAGTCGAACCTGACAGGAAAAGGACAGCCAGCGCAGCCAATGCAGCAAGGGAAAGGAAAGTCCAAGGGCAAGGAGCTTGCAGGGGTAAAGAAATCAGTATGTCTCCTCATCCTACAGATTGAAATGATTCCAAAACTTATGTGTCGAGTACATGAGAGTATATCATAGTACATGCATATGCACACTATTTTATACTATTTTTTACTATTTTCCCATATTGCACAAAATGGATCAAAATGGTTGGTTGTGTGTTTTGGGTGCGTACGACGTGCATCGACATGCGTTCAGCTCTGTCGCTGCTCTGTGTGACAGGAAGCCAAAGAGCCCTCCACACCTCCGACCCAGGCGACCCAGGCGCAGGCGACCCAGGCAGAGCGAACCTCCGATCTCTGACCAAGTCCATAACTATCCATAACTCATGAGAATTCATGATATCTAAATATATCTAATGATACACTTGAAGCATAGGGACAGACATGGAGGGATATGGAGGGATATGGAGGGATATGGAGGGATATGGAGGGATCAGTGATCCAAGGTCGAAACAAGTGGAAACATGTCAAGACCAAACGCATTGTTCATGAAACAAGATGGGAAGAAATGCGTCGCTGGAAGATGTTTCCGAGTATTCTTGAAGGCTTTTTGAGCTTGCCAAGGGAAGGTCCAATCTGCTTTCGATCGCTAGATTTTATGGTGAATGAAGCACTGATTTCAAGTGAATGTCTGTGAAAAATCCGATTCAACATGTTCAAATTCTGCTTCTACGATGTTACATGGAGTCTGGCAGAATGGTTTTACAACCACATAACACACAATAACATATGTTACATATTTTTACAGATGGGTTCTAAACAAAAACATGACCACCGGTTGTCGTCGCCAGGGCTCTGGCTCTTTTGGAGAGAAGGCGGCAGTCTGAGCGGAGGAAATACGCAATTTCTCACCAGATCTCTGACTGCGCTTTGATCTTTCATGCACCTTCCAACATTTTGGCTTCATTTACAAACAACCTTTGAGACGCGCTGCATGCTGATAATTATTTCTAGTATTTCTAGTGAACGTTGGCAAAGTTTCGACATGTGGCTATGGTTGCGTGTCCCAGGGTTTACGAATCTTCTAAGAGTCTTTACAAGTTTTTTTGTTATGCTATTTATCTTAAACTAACGTTGTCTGGCTCCTTTTTGCCAGTTTGACAGGCCCAACCTGCTGCAGTCGTGTCTGGGCGCATGAAGAATGTGGAGGCATGGAACCGCATGAAGCGCATCAGCTTGTTCATTCGTGAGATGTCACATTGTGGTTGGGATATGAAGTTGAATTTTCCTAGCCCGATTTCTATATCATCTTGATGTGTTCTTGTTCGTCTCAAGGGGAGGTGAATAATGCTTGTTAGCTGGCCTTGGTAGTATCAGGAATCAGAGGTGCTCGAGATTTTGCACATGTACGGCATGGCATTGTGAGGAGTTGTTGACACTATTCATGCACATTTCACGTGTAAGTTGCAATCTTTGTTGTCCCTTTTTGACACATGCAACCAGAACGCCTGACAGTATTCAACACTTCAAAGGTATACATTGGTGTGCTAATGGGACGCCTAGACATGAGAATCATGAGCTGCCACTTCCACCCCGTCCAGCCGCGCAGTTTCAAGCGAAAAAAGTGATTCAAGATTGGAACGCATTGCCTGAGGCAGGAAACTTGAACCTTTAACAGAATTTGAGGCCAAAAAGTTCATAGAGATCCTTGAGCTGACTTGAGCTGACTTTAGCTGAGGACCAGAAGCCCCAGACAATGCAACTGGTTCTTGACAGGACCCTGCCCATGGATGTTTAGAATGTGTTTCCATATCTTGATTTGTTTCCTTGGAACAGGAATGTGTGTATAAATGTACACATATGTATGTCTATAATACATAATTAATAAATCCGCCCACACCGCTTTGGCGGTGAAGGCGTGCTTATTGGGGGGCAAAACAGCAACACTAAATGCTCAATGACATTTGTTAATATAGCAGTCGCTATATCAGCTTTAGCTGGGGGGGGCCCAAAAACGGTTTCGCACCGAGACCAGAATACGGTGGTGTTTTCGACATTTTTCGAGGATTTTTGGGTGTCTGAGCGCAAGAGGGTATTGAAATGGAATTTTGGGTCATTTTGGTAGCTTTCCGGCAATGGAAAAACGGCCAAAAATGAAAAAAACATTGTACATAGCAAGATTTTGCAGGGTTTTTGGATGCCAGAGCATTGAAAACACTGCAAAAACAAGTGTTTTGGACTGACGTTATAGCAAAAAACGTGTAAATTACCGTATGCTTGACTGGAAACATTACAAAAACACTGTCAAAAGCAATGTTTTGGAAGGATTTACTGCCTTTATGGCAAAAAACGTGTAAATTACCGTCTGTTTGACTGGAAACATTGGAAAAACACTGTCAAAAACAATGTTTTGGAAGGATTTCTTATATATATGTTGGAGTTGGCTACCGGCATTGGAACATGGAAAAATTGAAGAAAACACTGTAAATAGCGGTATTTTCAACGGTTGGGGAGATAAGGGAATTGGAAGCATTGTCGAACATGATGTTTTCGACCGGTTTTATGGCGACAAAAGTGTAAAGTACCGTGCTTTGAAGGAAACCATTGCAAAAACATGGAAACACATTCAAAGAACACGGGCTTTGGGGGACTATCTAGGCGTCGTTGTCTAGCTATTTGAAATTCCGCAGCTTGGAGAGCCTCCAAGGGAGGGAAAAGTGAAAATTCCATAGCTTGGGAAGCTGTCACGGCGGGGAAAAGTGAAAATTCCCTAGCTTGGGGAGCCCCCACGGGGGGGAAAAGTGAAAATTCCCTAGCTTGGGGAGCCCCCACATTCCCTAGCTTGGGGAGCCCCCACGGGGGGGAAAAGTGAAAATTCCCTAGCTTGGGGAGCCCCCACGGGGGGGAAAAGTGAAAATTCCCTAGCTTGGGGAGCCCCCACGGGGGGGAAAAGTGAAAATTCCCTAGCTTGGGGAGCCCCCACGGGGGGGAAAAGTGAAAATTCCCTAGCTTGGGGAGCCTCCACGGGGGGTGAAAGTGAAAATTCTTAGCTTGGGGAGCCCCCACGGGGGAAAACCACCCTTAGCCCCTCTCACGGACCGAAATAAACCTGCGGTGTGGGCGGCCACCCCACGCGAAGCGGGGTGAATATTCATAAGATAGTAATATATTATATACATACATACATGCATGCATGCATGCATGCATAAATTAATAACCTACCATAACATACATGCCATAACATAACATAACACAACATAACATAACATAACATTACATAACATTACATTACGTTACGTTACGTTACATTACGTTACGTTACGTTACACTACATTACGTTACGTTACATTACGTTACGTTACGTTACACTACATTACGTTACGTTACATTACGTTACGTTACGTTACATTACATTACATACATAATTACATTCATACCATACATACCATACCATACCATACCGTACCGTACCATACCATACCGTACCATACCATACCATACATAGTTATCGCTGGTACTTCACTTTTGCCATGGATCCTTTCAAAGGCTCTATCAGACTCTGTGATTGTAGTCTCTCTGTCCCAAAACCTGGGGTTGATAGGTATGGATTCCATTCATACACCTCGAGTATTACATTCCGCGCTGACCTGCATGGAGTTTGACAGTCAGTGCAGTGACTGCTGTGCTGTAGGTTTTTGCAAATCATATCTCATCAATTCTCATCAAATTTCTCATCATATCTCCGGGTAAAAATCCCGGGCTGCGCCATCAGGATAATAGAAGCCCTTCCTCCTGAGCAGCAACGTTACGCCATTGATAAGGCAAGTCTTGCTGGACTGCAATTCTATAGATATTATATAGAAGTATCCATTGAGGTCGCAAAACGCGCGCTATTTGAAATTCAAAAAAGCAGCCACTTGCAGCCACTTGCAGCCACTCGAGTGGCCGCAAGTGGCCGCAAGTGGCCGCAAGTGGCCGCAAGTGGCCGCAAGTGGCCGCAAGTGGCCGCTAGGGCAAGTGGCTACTGGTAGGATTTGAAATTTCCAGAGCAGCGTCACTTGCAGCCACAAGTGGCCGCAAGTGGCCGCAAGTGGCCGCAAGTGGCCGCAAGTGGCCGCAAGTGGCCGCAAGTGGCCGCAAGTGGCCGCAAGTGGCCGCTGGGGCAAGTGGCCGCAAGTGGCTGCAAGTGGCCGCAAGTGGCCGCAAGTGGCCGCTAGGGCAAGTGGCTACTGGTAGGATTTGAAATTTCCAGAGCAGCGTCACTTGCAGCCACTCGAGTGGCCGCAAGTGGCCGCAAGTGGCCGCAAGTGGCCGCAAGTGGCCGCAAGTGGCCGCAAGTGGCCGCAAGTGGCCGCGCAAGTGGCCGCAAGTGGCGGCAAGTGGCCGCAAGTGGCTGCAAGTGGCCGCAAGTGGCTGCTTGGACGGCAAATACCAGCCCAAATGGCCCCACCCTTGAAAACTTGAAAAAAAATGCTTTTCTCGCGAACTGCATTTTTTCAAGTTTTCTGTGAAACGTGAGGTGAGAGTTGAAAGGATAAGAGTTGAAACGAAAGGATGGACGCAACGAAATGCACGAAATGAAAGGAAAGGAAGAGCTAAACGAGCAAGAAAGAAGAGTTGATACGAAGGCACAGACGCAACGAATAGAAAGGAAGAGTTGAAACGGAAGGAAAAACTGAACGATCAGGACATAAGAGTTTATGCGAAAGAAAGGAAGTAACAAATGGAAGAGGAGAATTGAAACGAAAGAAAGACGAAGGCGCAGACGCAACGAATAGAAAGGACGAGTTGAAACGGAAGGAAAAACGAAACGAACAGGACATAAGAGTTAATACGAAAGAAAGGAAGTAACAAGTGGAAGAGGAGACTTGACATGAAAGAAAGGACGCAGCGAACGGAAAGGAAAAGTTGAGACGACAGAGGAAGAATTAAATCAGAAGGAAGGACGGAGCAAACGGCAGGGAAGAGTTGAAACGAAAGGGAAGAAGAAACGAACGGGATATAAGACTTGAAACGAGCGAAGTAACGCATAGTACAGGTGACACGAAAGGAAAGACGCAATGAACGGAAACGAAGAGTTGAAACGACACGAAGAGTTGAAACGAATGGGAAGAAGTAACGAACGGAATATAAGACATGGAACGAAAGGGCGGAAGTAACGCGTGGAAAGGAAGAGGCGAAACGAAAGGAAGGAGGCAATGAACGGAAAGGAGACATTGAGTTGAAACGAAAGGAAGGACACAATGAACGGAAAGGAGACATTGAGTTGAAACGAAAGGCAGGACACAATGAACGGAAAGAAAATTGAAAGCGGAAACACCTAAAATCAGTTTGGTTCGGCCGATTCGCGGCTGTTGTTTGTCGACCGGGTATACGCTTGTGCCCCCTACAGGGAAGAAAGGAAAGAAATATTTTTTCGATAATGCATGGATAACCAACAAGTGGACATGTACTGTGTACTCGATATGAGTGTACCTTGATCCAAGAACCAGAGTTATACCAAGACACAACCAAACATAAATACTTATTCAATCTTATTCACTTCCCAACGGGTTGAGTACTTTGACACCATGTTTGGGATTCTAACATCAACAACATGAAAATTAAATAATTTGAAAAAATACCGAAACCAAGACATATAAGGAATTAGTCAAAAGTAAATGGAACCATTGTGCTGTAGTGTAATTGGGCAAGCTCGAGCAGCTCCGCGGCCGCAGACATCACCACAGCCAGACGGGGCCAATTCCGCAAAGCGACGTCGCTCGTTTGTAGATACATCATGCCTGAGACTCGGGGCAATCCAAGGACCGGAACATGTTGCAGCAGCAGCTGGATGATCTCCAAACAGCTCACCATGAAGCCCAGACCGAGCTCATTCAGCTCAAGAAAGATGCCAAGAAGGCCACGGCTCTCAGCAACTCAGCGGGAATCCCATGATGGCATGACCTTTGGTTTTGAGGGTTTCCTTCTGTTTTAATGGCGCTTCGTGGCAACACTTGCCGGGTGTACCATGTTTGGCCCTGTGGCGGATGCCCTTGCCAGGCTCGCATTGTTAACGCCGGGGATCTTGGTGGAAAGTGCTTACCATGACTGAGCAACGCAGTTGGCGTACGCCGGTGGCATTGCAACCATGGTTGACATAGTCTAACAGAGCCACCAACAAATGTCCCAGCTCGACGTGATTGAGGCGAAAAGAGAAGTTTACATTGAGCTGGAGAATATAGAGGTGATTTCGGAATTGGACAAATTTGTTTGTTGCCAATGTTTTGCGGTCAGCCTTACATGAGGGCAAACTCATGGCTGTGAAAGACCTCGAGGCTATGCCAGATCCAACTCAAAGAAAGCGGGCGTTGAAGCAGCTGCCAGGCGCTCAGTACATGCACAGCAACTCAGCAACTCAACCGTTTGCGACGGCTAATGCAAACTAAGGATGCTCAATTGGCATCCAGACAAGAACGCCGACAAAGAGGCAAGGCCCATGCTGTTTGCGGGCTTGCGGTGCAACATATTACATGGTGGGTCAGACACCTCGCAGTGATGGTTCCCGGCAGGTTGCGGAAGCGGTATTCAAGTTTCTGCAGGATGGAAAGAAACTGATAAATTGAGCGATGTAAAAGGGCTGAGATTGGGCTGCGCGGGTGAAGATCAACAAGAAAATGTTTCCAGTTCGTGTCCATGCCGTTATCACACCGCAGTTTTATGCCCAATTTGGAACGCCCAATTGACTGCGCCCGACTGCGCCATGGCCGAGGAGGGGCAGCTTTTGATTCTTGAACTGCTGCAGCTGTTGTTTTTGATGAATCCCTTGCCCAAGTGATGCAGGGGCAAGAGCCGCAAAAGAAATTGCCAAAAACCCAGAAGAAGAACCGCGCCAGAACCCAAGTTGTTGGAGCGTCCCGCGTCCTTGGCTTGCGCAGCACCGCCTTGAGGCCAAGCAGGCAAAGAAGGAGCGGGAAAGATTGGAAGAGGCAAATTGTTTTGGTGGAACACGGAGTTGCCTTCATGGGACCCGCGGATTGGCTGGTCATTTTTCATTGTTGGAAATTACTGTAACCGCCCAGTGTTGTTTTTTAAATACCCGCTGGAATCTTGGTGACGTTGGTGTTTGCGGTGCTGAGCCGCCCTCTGACAAGCGTAGGCTGGTTGGTGTTTGTTGTCAAACCAATTTTCGGCACATTTTCAGGCAAACCAAATGTCGACGCAGCACAAGTTGCCGAAGAGGCTGGAACAGTCTGAGACTGAGGGTTTTCTCCCTTTTTGTCGCTGGTCATGGAGAGTTTGTCGCAAAGGATTTTGGAGATGTTACGCGTGGAGGGGCTCACCACCGTCAAATAATATGGGGTAAGCCCCTTTCAGTGTGCAAACTTAGAGAATCCCGCCCAATGTTGGTCTATCTTCAGGATCGGGGTCGCCAGCGTGGCGAAACCTCGCGCCGTCGGTCTGAGGCTCCCATTGCCCAGCTGCGCAACAAGGTGCGCAGCGGCTACCAACCAACACTACCCAATATTGACCATTGTTGTTTGTCGATGTTTGTTACTACTTGCTATGCTGGTGTTTGTTTACTTACTATTAACCATTTAATATCAACCATGGTTACTCACGGTTGACTTTCCTTACCACTCCACCGTCACCAATGTCAACCATCATTCGCCATGTTCAGCCATCAATTACCCCATTCAAGCATGATTGAAGCATCAGTAACCATCATTGAACCATGGTTTCACCATCGTTTGACCATCCTTTGACCAGCACCTACCATAACTAACCATCGCCATCACAGTCATGCTATGTCATGTTTCAGCATCACAGCCATCATTTTTAGGCATGTCCCCTAACCATCCCAAAATGATCGTTAATAGGGAAACCAACCAGCTATAGGGGCACATCATGGTACGTCATTTTTGGACAACCCCAGTTGAAGCACAATTGAACTATGCAATCACCATCATTCAACCCCCATTGGAGCATCGTTTACCATCGGTGCCATCATCTGCCGTCATTGCCACAAGTGACAGGTTGAGTAGGATAATAACCTGCTAATTGTTCTGTATGTAACTCGAAAATCCTTCCGCTTCGGTGCGCATTTTTGCTCTGATCTTTTGCTCCTCTTTCGCAGTCCAAAGGCCGTTGGATGCCCAAATCACACGAACCTGGATCACGAATCAAATATACGGATGCAGAAACAAAACAGAACCACCGCAAGCCATGCAGACATATCTTCAGACAAACACATCATGTTCCAAGAACATGACTTCAGTCAGGAAAATTAATTTATGACTGCAGCCAGCGACTGACTACTTGATGAAGCATTTCCACAAGCTTCTATACAATATAACAACCAAGAAGCCAAACTGGAGCATGGGAACAAGTGGTTCAAATGGCTGGCAACTTTAGTGGCCTTGCGACCCGTGAAATTTACCGGAAAATCTTGGACTTTATCTACCTTGCGCTCGTTCTCTTGCTCGTTTGCAGAACGCATCCGGGCACCTTCGGAACCATTGCAACGTGGAGGAGCTGCTGTTGCAACAAGTGTGGCATATAGACCTCACAGCCGCAGAAGTTGAAGTGGACACGGCCCAAGATCTCAAGGCGAGGAGTTTTCAAAACTCCTGTTGATTGATGTCTGTAGGACGTTGTACTTTCCAAAGGAAGTTTAGGTCACGAACTTCCGAGTTACGGCTGAATGTCACAGGGCAGTCTTGTCAGGTGTTGTCATCATCATCATCACCATCATCATCTTCATCATCATCATGTCATCATATCATGGTCTATTGTCATAGAATACGTATGAGCATTCACGGGTGAAAAGCACTCTTGGCACGAAACCTTGTGTTTTTTCGGGTAAGGTGGCTTCCGTGGTCGCCGAAGGATGGTCTCTGTTTCCGCGGGTGCGGGCCTCCATCTAGGAATGTCGTCGGCGAAACAAATACACAGGACTGTATGGCGAGAGCTTGCTTTGCATTTCAAACTATTATGTAAAGACTAAGGCGTTCGACGCACTTTTGGAAGTTGTGAAATGTCGACAAGTGCACGGCGTCGTCGCAAGCGCTCGATTTCACAAAACAAAACGTAAAAAAACAAGCAACGCCAGAGCAGCGCGGAGTAGAGCAGCACCGAGTCGTCACCACTGTCAGCGTTCCGCACATGTTTGTCGATTTGTTGCGGCGCTCTTGCCATGCGGGTTTGCAAGTGCATTCTTTTCGTTCATTCCTTCATTCCTTCATTCCTTCATTCCTTCGTTCCTTCATTCCTTCATTCCTTCCGTCCTTCATTCATTCATTCATTCCTTCATTCCTTCATTCCTTCATTCCTTCATTCCTCCCTTCCTGCATTCCTTCATTCCTTCATTCCTTCATTCCTTCATTCCTTCATTGCTTCATTCCTTCATTCATTCATTCCTTCATTCATTCCTTCATTCCTTCCTTCATTCCTTCATTCCTTCGTTCCCTCATTCCCTCATTCCTTCATTCCCTCATTCCTTCATTCATTCATTCATTCATTCATTCACTCATTCATTCATTCACTCATTCATTCATTCATTCATTCATTCCTTCATTCCTTCATTCCTTCATTCCTTCATTCCTTCATTCCTTCATTCCTTCATTCATTCATTCATGCATTCATGCATTCATGCATTCATGCATTCATGCATTCATGCATTCATGCATTCATTGCATTCATGCATTCATGCATTCATGCATTCATGCATTCATGCATTCATGCATTCATGCATTCATGCATTCATGCATTCATGCATTCATGCATTCATGCATTCATGCATTCATGCATTCATGCATTCATTCATTCCTTCCTTCATTCATTCCTTCATTCCTTCCTTCATTCCTTCATTCCTTCATTCCTTCATTCCTTCATTCATTCTTCATTCCTTCATTCCTTCATTCCTTCATTCCTTCATTCCTCCCTTCCTGCATTCCTTCATTCCTTCATTCCTTCATTCCTTCATTCCTTCATTGCTTCATTCCTTCATTCCTTCATTCCTTCATTCCTTCTTCATTTTCATTCCTTCATTCCTTCATTCCTTCATTCCTTCATTCCTTCATTCCTTCATTCCTTCATTCCTTCATTCCTTCATTCCTTCATTCCTTCATTCCTTCATTCCTTCATTCCTTCATTCCTTCATTCCTTCATTCCTTCATTCCTTCATTCCTTCATTCCTTCATTCCTTCATTCCTTCATTTCCTTCATTCTTCATTCCCTTCATTCCTTCATTCCCTTCATTCCTTCATTCATTCCGTTCATTCCTTCATTCCTTCATTCCTTCATTCCTTCATTCCTTTCTTCCTTCATTCATTCATTCATTCATTCCTTCATTCCTTCATTCCTTCATTCCTTCATTCCTTCATTCCTTCATTCCTTCATTCCTTCATTCCTTCATTCCTTCATTCCTTCATTCCTTCATTCCCTCATTCCCTCATTCATTTCATTCGTTCATTCATTCGTTCATTCATTCATTCCTTCCTTCCTTCCTTCCTTCCTTCATTCATTCATTCATTCATTCATTCATTGAAAAGCTCTACCATGCCCGGATGCATCGTTTACTTCATTCCTTTTTTCGTGACGTCTTTCCTTCAAACTTTCTTTCATTCCATCTTTCTTTCGTCGCAGACCTCGTCTCACAATCTTTCCAACCCATCACAATTCCTATAAGCAACTTTTTTCCTATAGCCTATAGCTATCTCCCTTTTCTCGAAACTTCCGCCCCGGCACGTGCCGGGCACTATCAAGTTATCTAAGCTAAAAATATTCTGTGATGTGTATATTTTCGTGAGGAATGGAACCAATCATAACTTTACTTAGTGACTGGTTAGTGGGATGACAGCGGAGTTACTCATGCACCCAACACAAGATATACATAAGAACAGACACAGCCTCCACGCCTTCTCTGCACTTTCCCGTGCACAAGGTCATACCAGCAACATAACACAGCAGGTTCTTATCACATTGGTTTGTTGGCAAAATGAAACCTAATTATTTCAATCCATGTCCAGTTTTACCATTGTATGTTCTTTCATTTTTTCACCAACAATTTACCCAAATTGCAACTAGTAAGCTTACTTGTATGTCTTTTATGACCAAGTATAAAAAAATTGGAAACATTTTAACAAAAAGTTTGGTATCTACAAGTAGAATTTGTTCCGAAATTCCGGGTACCACAGATATGCCACATGTGAAACATGATCAGTCATGACCGGCTAATTTAGCACACAAAAACATGTCGCAAGACAGTCGATGCCCTTACGGTGTCTTCAAATCTGTCAATGAACTCCTCCAATGAAATCACGGCTAGCTTGCCCTCTCTTGAGCTTCAGGTTTGACGCAGCAAAATGTGTGAGATGTCAACTGCGTTTTGACATATTGAGCTTCTTGATTTCCAACTACGTCAAAGGGACGTGAAAGAGGAAATTGAGCTAAGTCGGCGACTGTACATATAAATATATGATTTTACAACGTTTGAACTCATCAACATGATGTGGTCCGTTAATCTTTCAACACTTGTTGTTCCAGTATTCGATCGACATTACAAATCACCGTTGCCCGGAGATCCACTTCCGATCGGGAACGCGATCATATGCTCGCAGCTTCGTTCTGACCGTGAACCATTGGCGTAAAAAAACAAATTGAGACACATGGGCAATGGAAAACATGGTTGACATCACGCTTGACACAAAATCCTGAATACCTTGGTGCAAAAACACCATAAAGATAATCTTGCCTATCCAACCTCCAAACTTGAAAAAAAACAATTTTTCCTCCAATCCAATTTTTTTCAAGATTTTGATATTACATGCCTTTCTGGCAGCTTGCAGCCACTCGCAGCCACTCGCAGTACTGGCAGCCACTCGCAGCCCCTCGCAACCACTAGCAGCCACTCGCAGCCACTCGAAGCCACTCGCAGCCACTCGAGTGGCGGCAAGTGGCTGCAAGTGGCCGCTCCAAGCGAGTGGCCGCAAGTGGCCGCAAGTGGCCGCTCAAGTGGCCGCAAGTGGCCGCTCCCAGCGAGTGGCCGCAAGTGGCCGCTCCAGCCAGTTCCAAGCGAGTGGCCGCAAGTGGCCGCAAGTGGCCGCTTTCTGCGATTTCAATTTCCACCCTCAAAGCAACCTCTCTGGAAGTATCTATACATTTTATATATATATATATATGTGTGAGATACACAAACCCTGTGTGGAAGCTGCAATGGCATGTTGATGGGCTTAAGAACTATCCTTTTTTTGTTTCACCATCTAGAATTTTACTTATTTTCAATGCTGTCAACTTTTTGTGACATTCCAGCGAGCCAAATGCAAGTTCCATTTCCATCCATATCCTAAATGGAACCCATTTCAGGTGTGATGTTTACATTTTCGCGTTTTCCCACATTCACCAATGACGAGTGGCTGCAAACTGGCCAGTTAATGGCTGCCGGAGCGCAGAATGGTGGAGCAATTCCGGCATGTTTTTCAATGGCGTCAATGATGATCAATTGAAATATTATAATGGATTATAATGGTATAGACGGCATAGATGATCAGCATGTATTGTGTAATACAAAGGTTTGGGAGAAAGACCGCGTTGGCCTTGCCGTTCGCTGCATTCCGGGTGTTTGTCAATTTGAGTCTTTCGAGTTTCCAAGTTTTTAATTTCAAGCATGTTTTCCACCAGTTTGGGTTTTTGGATCGTTTGGATCGTTTGGATCTTTTGGTTCTTTTGGGCCTGCGGGTGCCAGTGATGTTCAGTCACTACGTTTCTCGGAGCTGAACTGAGAAGCACTTCATAACGCCATCTGTCCCCAGGCGGAAGAAGCTGAGGCGGCAGTTGGGTGGTTTGCACAAAAGGCAGACATTCGGACAAGCAGAGTTACATGATGTTACAATATGTCACATATGCATATAGTATGCAATACAAATAGAAATATATCTACATATCTACTGTTGCTATGTAAAAAATTGTAAAATCATATCTTAAGGCATCATAACTTTCAGATTTTTCAGGGTCTTTTCGACATCGACTGAAACATTCTCGAGCAGGTCGAGCAGAACGAGGAGCAGCAAGAGACAGAGCCAATGGAAGATGCGCCCAACGGAAATCACGAGCCGAGCGCAGAATACAAAGCCGATGGCTCAGGGTGAATGGCCAGAAGCAGTGTGGACTGCCATGGACTGCCATTGAATGCCAAAATGAATATGTTGTCTGCAGCATTGTGCCATTGTAATCCATTGTATGCTTGTGTGTTCATGCCATTGTGTGTTTGACATTGACAGTGAGGCCATGGATGAGTTCATCACCAAATGCGAGAGCAGCAGTCCAGAAGACTGGTCTAAGGCAAATATGGAAGTGACTGCTGACAAACAAAAGTAACAAAAGGTGTTGTCGGAGTCGATTGACTTTGACATACTTTGACTCATTGACAGCTGCCAATTCCGCAGGTTATAATTGGTAGGGTCCGCACGGTCCGTACAGTCTGTACTTCTAAAAAAACCTTTAGAAGGTTTGCAGACATTTGGGGACTGGGGGGGTACTCCGTGCAGGCCTGGCATGAGTTGCAGATTCCTCGCCAAGCAGAGAAGGAAATGCTCACTTTGCTGTTTGAGGTGCCAGGGACGGTGACGGTAGAACTCGCAGTGGAGTCCGTATCCAGTGGCATTCCAGTGGCGACTAGAGTCACTATAGAGCCATGCACTGAAGACTGTCTTGGTTTGATCCTACAGCCCAGTGAAAAATATCAGAATTGTCCTCTGCAACGAGACATCTATCCGAGTCTATCCACAGGTTGTGATCAATAAGGACGTGGCGAACAAGGACAGACCGGTGACATACGGTGACCTTCCAGAATCCCACGACCACGATGCGAGATGTGAGATGTGTGAGATGCCATGAAGGTAACATCAAAATCGGCAAAATTCCACAGTGCTTCGTGGAACTTGTGCAACTCGCAGAACACATCAGAACACCAAGTCAAGGATGGTGGTTTTTTCGACTTCGTGCCTCGAATCATCACGAACTTAGTGAAAGCACGACTGGCCTGGAGCCAAGATATGAACAGATGTCTTTGATGATGTATATATATATATTATAATTATATATATACACATATAATACAATAATAATATATATATAAAGAACTAATATAATCTAATATCTCTATATATATATTATATATGTATAGTTATGTATATATATATATATGTATGCAAATACATGTTAAATAAGTTTATATATTATACATTTGTATGCACAGTATACACATCACATACACCATGATGGAGCTGTCGGATGCTGCTGGATTCTTGCGAACGTTGTTCCTTATAGCGATAGATTGGCTGCCACTAGGGCAGGTTAACATCATCTTTAAAGATGCAGTTAACATCAGTTAACCTGTGTCGACCAAAACTTGGGTCAAATGCCCATCAATGCAACGAAGACATTCGAGCCGTTGCACATTTCATGCAGAATGATGAAATTCCAGAAATGACATCTTCGAAAAAATGACATACTTGCATTGCCATAAGTTAGCCAATTCCATTGCAATTGCAATACATGTTGTGTTTGGTGCTCTTATCAGCAACGTAGGTCTTCAGCAAGAACGTGGAATTGGCTTTGAAGGCGCGCAGCGCCACAGGGCAGCGTGTAGAGCTTTGACACGTGACTCCTGTAGACTCGGTGTGGCAGGAGATCAGCAGACGGATGGAGGAGCTCGCCCAGGTGCCGTGCACTGTCTTCCGTGCTTCCGTGTGCCGTGCCTTTGCCAATCCGAAGCATATCCAAAGCATCACTGAGTCAACTTAGATTCCTAAAATGATTAGAAGCAGAGCCTGTATTGTAAACATTTGTAAACCATGACGTTTGCTTGTTGATCTTGTTGTGTTTGGAATGAGCTCAGACCCAACTGCGTAAATCACATGGTGCAGGTGAATGATCAGGCTTGGCATTTGCTTAGCTACATGATGCTGTCTCTTGGTTCACACAATGATACAGAACTGTTGTCCCAATTTATTGCGATAGATTTACACTCCCAGAACTCTTTCAATGGACTTGTTCTGGATGTTCTTGGCTCTTTCTTGGCTCTCTTTTTCTGAGTTCATTGATAAAGGATGATAAAGGTATTATTTTGTTGAGTCTGCAGCTGAGGTATTTCCATCCCAAAGGCCGAGGAACAGATTGGGGGTGGAAGCCTAAGTGGAAGGCAAAAAAACGGTTCAAACACATGTGGACCATTGTGGGCCTGAGGATGAATTGATCATAACTACAAATTACTCAAAATAGCTGCGTTATTTACTTATTTTTTGGAATGCTTCCAGCAATTTCCAGTCGCTTCCAGGTTCGTTTTCATGCCCTGGACATGGGAACTCTGGTGGAAACAGACGAAGGAGGTTCTGGGCGCTGCGCAAAAGTACCGCGCCTTCGACATCCTCACATTGCTTCTGCAGCTCATGCAGGACCGGGGAAATCCGGGGAAGCAGTGAGACCGGTGAAGGATCAATATGGATCAATCAGATCTGCCGATGTGAGGGCATGATGTCAGTGTGGCACACAATGACATGATTGTGACATGGTATGGTGACTCTCCAACGGAGGTCTCTTTCTGTTTGTTGGCTTCGCAGGAAAAGAGCGAACAGGTGCTGAAAAGCCTCCCAGCCCAGGGCTCATCATGTGTGCAAGAATATTTGACAGACATTTTGAGGAGGACAAGCAGGTGGTATTTGACAAGCATTTAGAAGCGGAGTAATTTGGAAGATTGACTGTGAATGCTTAGCGCTCAACCGACTCATGCGGGCTGCACTGCACCACCGCATGTTCTTGATTCTGCCATATTATTCATTGACAACTTTGAAATGAGTGGATATTGCGGTAATTTCGTAACTCAAACGGATGATACCTCACTTGCAGCTGAGTCTTGGAGCGAGCCTGCAAAGACTGCGAAAGTCAGAGAGGCCCTGTTCTGTCTCGAGAAGCCGAGAAAAACTCACGAGAAAAGTGGAATTTGGTCTTTTGCAAAACCTCAAAACCTGCTTCTTCAGCGGAACTGAATCCCTCTAGCAGAAGACTTTTGCAACGTTTCCGCAGTCCGGGGCATTGAGAATCTGTAAAGGTGCTTTGCCAGTGGGGTGATATGGATGAAGCTGCTATTTTGGAAACTCTCTCCGCTTATGGCTTCTTGGCAGCAAAGTGCATTGACCAAAAGCTGGCAACTACCTCACTAGGTTGGGTTTTACATCAAAAGACACAGTAGATCACAGTAGCCTATAGAAGCGAATGTTGAGACAGGAAAGCCATGAAAAGCAATGGAAAGCCAGGGAAAACCATGAAAGGCATTAACTAGTCAAATAGTCATTAAATAATCAAAATATATGTATTTTCGTATATAATCGTATATATATATACATAATCTTAGATGTGTCGTCGCATTTGAATGTATCCAGCGTCTGGGCAAGACTTCTGAGGCGTCGAGCTCTGAGGCTCAGGACAGCAACGACCACAGTTTGTCATCTGAATCTGCAAATGCCACTGACACGCGATGACAACGTGTGACAAAGTGTGACGAAGTGTGACAAATTGCAATCTCTGTCCAGAGACACGCTTTGCGACACCAGTTGATGCTGCATTCAAAAAAGAACACCTGCACCAGGTTATGGCAAGTTGACAGTTTGCCAACATTTGCCAACACACTGGGGATTGGTATAAAATGGTATAAAGATCCTCGGTATCTGGCAGGAGCGTTTCGCTGGCTGAGATGAGTTGCCTCTGCAGATGAACAAACGCTCGTGAAGCGAAGAAACATGAAGAAACACTCTGCGATGCACTGCTTTTGGCCGTTCCACTGCTTGTCTTGTTCACTCTGCTGACCTTGATCATCCTTGATCATTTGAGTGGACATGACCGGACATGACTCTACAAATTCTTTCTTTGTTTGTGTTGTATTGTTTTTGATTGTATGCTGCGCTACTTTCTGGCTTAGCTTCATTCCCCCAGCTTTTAGCATCCTTTTGCTGGCCCCATGGTGGATTTGCTGCTTCATGGCAAGCCTGTGAGCATTGAGTCCGCCATTAACTCAATTGATACAGTCCGAAAACTGAAAGAAGAAATTTCTTCGCGCTGGGATGTTCTCGTTTCGTGCCAGCTTCTGTCTTTTGCTGGAAAGCAGTTGCTGGATGACGCACCTTTGCCGAGCACGAGCGCGCAGCCAGTGCGTGTGACCGATTTCTGGCCGTTGCGCAAAAAGAAAACCGTTGTGGAAATCGAAAAAACCGAAGAACGTGGCATTAGCTTGAAGCAGTTGCAGGATCTGATTGCATTCTTGCAAGCAGAATCAGAGGAGACATGTGTTCGGGAATGTTCGGGAACCCCAAACCTTTAATTAGCGTATGTTGCCGTAGCACTCGTACTAATTTGATAATATTTGATATTACTTATAGTTTTATTTAGATAATTTTAGTTTAGATGATTTTAGATGCAATTTCGGCACAGGACGGCAAATTGCCATGGAGGTCCCGCGAGACGATCCTCGAGGCGCACCACATAACTCCACATACTTTTTGCAGCAGACGCAGACGACAACAGAATTCATACAGCAGCAGTACTGATTAGTACTGTCATGTACTGTCCCAGCATGCTTCAACAAACTCAATAAACTCTTGACTTGGGTATTGATGGTATTGCATGGGTATTGCATGGGTATTGCATGATTAGCATGTGTAAAGATAGGTGAACCTTGATCTTGATGCAGGTGAAGTCGGTGAACCTGTACCAGATCGCTGAGTGGACCATCAAACCAGCAACATCTGCAGACTCCTGCAGCTACGTTGAACTTGTGGCCACCAATCCAGCAGGACATATTTGAGAAGCATCCAAATAAAAATTGCCAAAATGACCAATGTTTTATTCTGTTTGTGTTTGTGTGATGTATGATATGATCATGATCATGAGGCCCAATGTTTTTATTCTTTTTTTGCATCTTTTGCATTCTTTTGCCAGTTTGTGAAAGTCATGTCAACCCAATCTCCACTACCAGCTAGGACAAGTTCCCACTTGGTTTATTAGCCATGCCTGGGCCGAGCCGGTCTGGGAATTTGTCAATTGCGTGGCTCGTCATGGGCAATTACGAGATTTGCGTGAGACAGACGCTTGGTGGGTCTGCGCGTATGCCAATAATCAACACGAGCTTGGGAAAGACCTGACGCACGACCCTCGTTCGACCTCGTTCTTCCGAGCCATGTCTCTCTGTGATGGTTTGTTGCTTGTCTTAGACCCAACAGCAACTCCGTTTCAAGGCCAAGGGCCATCACTCAAGAGAGCTGCCGTTGTGTCAGCGGCTCCTGCAGTGCAGCCTGAAACTGTTGTAGTGAGATTAAGTGTTGATGCAAAATATTTGCAAAACAACGAGTGGCAGAGCATCCAGGCCAAGCCAAAGGCAAACGCGCAGGCTTGGTTGCATCGGCATGTTCCAGAGCATGTTGCGGACAAAGTCTTTGATATGTGGGCGTTTCAGCAAGAAAGCATGAAAGGCGGAGGCAAGCCAGTGATCACTGGCCTTTTACGCATTGAGCGAAGTGCTGCCAAAGCTCTTCTAGGCTGCTCAGGCAAAAGTACCTGGTTTGTGGAGCCTTTGCAATGGAACAACTCCGTGATTGAATCTTGCGATGTTGAGTGGGTCAAGAAAAGTTCGGAACTTGATGGGCCCAGCTACTTGCAGAAGGTTCAGTCCATGGCTGGTGACCTGGGCATTGCCCGGGGATGGAATGGACTGGGAGTACGTAAGCCCAGGAGCGCCGAGCCTCCTCCTAAGGCCAGAGCTTGGCGCGTCACTGGTGTTCCGCGAGATTGGGCGGCTAGTACCTTGACTCAGGAACTTACACGTGCTGGCCTGACTGAACTCAAGGTGTTGTCCCGGAAAACTGTGGGCAAACAAGTGGAATGGTGGGTGCAGGCCAATGCTCAAAAGGATATGGATTTCATTGAAATTCAGGCTGGCGAAAAAGTCATTGTAGCTGTTGAAGCTCCAAGACAAAGACGGCAGAGAACACATACCATGAAACTGGCTAGCAATGGAAGGGTCAGTTATAACCAGAGCCATGCATGGCAGGCGATTGCCACGCCTGCTCCTCGCAAATCTTTCTACATGGGAACGCCAGTCAAAAAGCCAGTGACTATTGCAGGGGCTGAGAAGGTTCCTGCTGAGAATTTGGACGAGGACAAGTCGGACGCAAAGATGGACAATGCTGGAGAACCCGCTGGGGCAAAAAGAACTGTCAGTACTCCTGAAAAGAGTCCTCCGGCCAAGCGTGTTGCGGGGGAACCCAAGCCCCCTCACAATATGAAGGTGAAAAGCATCCCTGCTGACGGCAACTGTCTTTTTGAAGCCCTTGCTCAAAGTTTGGGCGGAAAAACAGCCAGGAATGTGCGTGCAAGCGTTGTCACCCACCTGACCAAGCACCAGGGTCGTTACAAGCCCTGGTGGGACGGCAAGGAGCCAACAGAGGCGGAGAATGCTTGCGAATCATGGGAGAGCTATCTCACCATGCTCTCAAAGATTGGTGCTTGGGGCAGTGCTCTTGAAGTTTCTGCTGCGGCTGTGCACTACGATCGCCCGATCATTGTCTTCCAGCCTCGTGGGGTTCCGGAGATTTACAATGGTCGTGGCAAGGGTGGTGCTCCCATCGCTTTGTGGTTTCGTTCAAAGCACTATGAACGACTTGAAGGTGCTTTCCCTCCTGAAGTTTTGACTCAGGCCGCAAATGGTCCAATGCAGGGCAACAGAGGTGGAGGATCGGAATGTGGCGCTACTTCAGTTGGTGCCACCAGATTGTCAGCTTTGCCGTCACTGGTTCATAGCAACAATAAACGTGGAAGGTGTGCTAGCCCCGCGCCCGCCTCTACTTTGTCAGAGCAGCGCAAGAATTCTTCTTCCCCTGCGGCTGCTACTTCGGGTCGGGGTCCGTGCACGCCACGTGCAGCCAGTGAAGGACAAGACGCAGCCAGTGCTTCGTCCAGACGCACTAAGCGTACTGAGTGGACATGCCCTTTGTGTGACTTTTCCACTGGGGTGTGCAAAGGATGGGTTGACAAGAAGAGAGCTCATATCAATGCTTGGCATCCCGATGAGAAGGAACAGTTGAAAATCGGCTTCAAAAACACGTTGCCTGCGCTGTCTGCGGTCAAGAAGGGAGGAGTCTATAGCTGGAAGTGTCCTGTTTGCAAACTTGGCTTGTCCGCTGATCACAACCTCAAACCTGGCCAAGTGTACAGCGTCATCCGCAAGCATAGGGAAGACAAACATCCTCAGGCGGATGCCAAGCTCTTCCACAAGGACAGCAGCTTCAGACGGGAGAATGCTAGCAAAGCCACGCGCCAGGTGCGTGCAGCTGCAGTGGCTCGAAGGTTGCTTGGCTTCAAGCGTGGCGATGCTGGAGCACATGACCCCACTTTCGTTACCATTCCAGCCACAGGAAATGGCAAACAGAAAAGAGTTGGAATGTCTTACGTCATTTGCAAAACTTGTGGCAGTATGGCTTTGACAGCGAAGCGTTTGGCAAAGATTGCTTGTGAACAGTATGCTTCCAGCAAAGGGCCCAAACGAAAGCAGTTGGTGGAAAGATTGCGTGCGTGCCTCAAAAATGCAGACATCAGCGATGACCTCAAGAAGGGTGCCCGCACAGTTTTGGAAATCATCGACTCTGGAGCATTTCGCACCACTGATACTGCAGCAGACAGCACGCATCAGATTGAGGCCATTGTGTGGCCTGCCAATTTTACGGTGCGTTTTGCTTGTGTGCATTGCAAGCGTTGTGTCAACAACATCAGACGGCTTACAGGAAGTCAGTGTCCTCGTAAAATGGTTTGGACTAAGTTTCGAAAGGGCCAGAGGGATATTTTGGTGCCTCTTGCGGCTCAGGCTCCAAGTGCCAGACAGCGAGCTGCTTCGCGAGCTTTGGACATTTTGGGATTGCAGCAGGATGGCGCTGTGGATCAGAACCCATGACGGGCTCTGACAGCACTATGCGGTTGGGGACTATGAATGTACGGTCCTTGGGAGGCCGCTTGGGTGGTGTGCTTGACTTTGCTCAGCTCCAGAATTTACATGTTCTGTGTCTTCAAGAAACTAGAGTTAACAATCACAGCTGGAATGCTGTGACTCGTGCCGTCAAGGCACGCGGGTGGCAACTTTTTCCTGGCCCTCAAGGAAGAAATTCGAAAAATGTAGTGGAAGGTGGTACATTGGTTCTAACAAAGTGGCCTGCTGAGGCCTTGGCCCTTCCTGTCGACATGGTGTCTGTGGAAAGATCCATGGCCGTCAAACTCTATAGACCTCAGCAAAGGCCGTTGATTCTCATCAATGTTTACTTACATGCTTCAGATCGCACAGCTGCCAGCCGTGCGCTGGGTGCGCTGTTCGAGTTTGTTGCTGCTTGTGGTGAAGATACAGTGATCATGGGTGACTTCAATTTGGAAATTCATTGTTGGCCAATTTCTAACGTTTTGGCTACTGGACAGTGGCGGTCCTGTGATGAGCTGGTTTGCGGAGATCGTGTTTTAGGTGGTACACATCGAACTGCTGCAGGTGTTTATACAGGTGTGGTCATTGACTATGGCTTGTGCACTCCTCGGTTAATTATTACTGGTAGGGAGCAACATCTTGGCGTGGCTGACCATGACGCGGTGGTTTACAACTTGCATGTGCCTGGTTCATTATCCACACCGTGGACTCTCCCAGTTGGTGCCCCTTTGCATTCTGAAAAGGTTGCTGAAGCTTCTTGGCTAAGTGCTTGGGAAGAAGTATGTGACGATTTTGGAAATGCATTGAGTACAGGCAACGTGGACTCTGCTTGGACCTTACTTAGCAACTGCGCAGAATCTCTTCTTCTCGCACGTGGCAAAACTGGTCGTGCTATGCGCCAGGGCCCGCAGCAAATTGCCAGTCCTCCGTCTTCAAAAGCGCCTTCTTTGCAAACAGTGAAAGAGCGCAAGCTCAGACGCTTCGCACGAAGAGTGGTGGAGTACCAAAAGGCCCCGTTGCCAGAGTTGGAGAAGAAGTTGGTTCGTGATGGCCCTCATTTACATCATTCTTTGGCTTTTTTCTCTTTGGATGACCCCAGGTTGGTTAGTGCAGTGCTAGAATTGGCAAATGCAGAAGCTACAGCAGCGTCCAAGTTACGCTTGGAGGCGTGGAAGGACAGCGTGCAGGAAAATGCCACCAAACTAGGCAGGTGGGTCAAACAGGTGCCGCCCGCCAGTCCTACTGCAAGTTTTGATGGCCCCATTCTACCTGCAGATAGGGCCAAGTGCGCAGCATTGGATTGGGAGAGGTATTGGAATCCAGGGTCGCTTCCGAATTTGAATCTGGGGGACCAGTTGTACTCTCAGATTGGCTCTGCAAGCGATCCATTGCCGGATGACTGTATTCAGGTTAGTGGTTCTGAATTGGTTCGGATTGCGCTCAAAGCGAAGGACAAGGCTCCGGGCATGGATGCCTGGACAGCTCTCCATTTGTGCAATCTTCCCATTGCTTTTTGGGATCAGGTCGGTGCTCTTTGGGATGCTTGCTTGCGACATGGCTGTGTTCCTACGATGTGGAAAGATGTTAGAATTGCTTTGTTACCAAAAGCTACTGGTGGCATGCGCCCTTTAGCCATTGTCACTGTCCTGTGGCGTATTTGCATGAGTGCCACTCTGAAAAAATTACAGCCTTGGATTGCGGAATGGGCTTCGCCCGAACTTTTTGGTGGTCTACCAGGCAAGGGCATCATGGAAGTCCATGAACGTTTCTACGAAGCTGTCAGCGCGGCAAAGCAGTCTCGTGTCGATTTGGTCGGGTGCAAAGCTGATGTTCGCAAGTGTTTTGATTCAGTTTGCCCTCAGACAGCCATTAAAGTGTGGCGATGGTTCGGTGCTCCCTCATCAATTTGTGATTTACTCGCTGATTTTTACAGTGAACAGCGTCGTTGGTTTGCTTGGCAAGGTTCTTATCACCCTCATCCGGTTATTGCTCAACGGGGTTTGTTGCAAGGCTGTCCAGCCAGCCCTGCGCTACTGAACGCTTTGATGACAGTTTGGGTGAGGTTTGTCAAACGGCAGGAACCAAGGATTTCTTTGGCTATTTATTTGGACGATCGCACCATGTGGAAACAAGGTTGTCAAAGTTTTGAAGTGGTCATCAACGCCATGACTGCGGGAGCGCAAGCCGATGCTATTCTCGGCTTCGAACTTCACCCTGACAAATTGGCTAGCTTCGCCACCAAACCGCATCTGGTTGCCAAGGTGCGCAAGAAGAAAGATTTAGTAGGTGTACCTGCGGATACTTTCACACTGCTTGGCATTCAATACAATTTGTCACGCCCCAGTTCTTGTGTTGATGCGGATATTGTCAGTGACAACATTCAGCGACGGTGTCTCAAAATTCGTTTGGCAGCACAGCACTTAGGCACTCGCATTGCATTGGTGCATAAGTTGGTGATATCTTTATTTGCTTGGTCCGGTGCTTTTCATCACTTCAGTGCAAGAACCATTCGAACATGGACATCTATGATCGAAACTGCACTTTGGGGTCGAAGGGCTCCTCCAGGTAGGAGCCGGCTGCTCTTTTGGAATTCTTTGGGTTCTGCAAGACTACATCCGATGTTTGCGCTCCAGTTCACCGCCGCCCGGGCGGAATGGAATCGGCAATGCCGCCGTGCCCAAGGGTTGCCTGCAGCTACCTCGCCTGCTCCTCGCTGGAAAGCAGTACTCAAAGATTGGAAATGGCGACTTGACGATGGCCTGTGGCACACGCCTGCTGGGATTTTGAAACCTGGGTGGATGTCTTTGAAAAGCTTGCAAAAGGCCGCTATCCATTCATGGCTCGTTGGTTTGTGGACTAAAGACACCAAAACGGATGGTCGATGGCCAAACGGCAAGGAGCCGGTTTTCCTTTTTCAGGCAAATGCAGCTTTAGGCATGGATTACTACAGTCGCAGGGTTTTGACTGGTGCTGCAGTGGATGGCAGGGTCACAGAGCGCTTTGGTTCTGCTTTGAGTTGTGAATGTGGATTGCGGTCTCCTGATCGAGAACATCTCACTTTTCACTGCCAAGCGCAGCCATGGGATGGTGAGTTCAGGAGCGCTACTGAACGTCGTTTGCTGGTTCCACTTGTGGATGCTCCTCCTGTGTTGCCTTTTTCCAACATGGTTGCAGATCCTGCTTTGGTTACTTTTATTCAGCAATTCGATCCTCTTCAGCGACCCACCTTGGGTTTGGACGGCAGTTGTATCATAGCTACTTCCTGTGATCGATGGCAAAGAGCTAGCTGGGCGGTTTCGACACTTTCAGGCACCACTGTTCAAGGTGCCGTGACTGGTTTTGAGCAAACACCTGCTGCAGGTGAGCGTGCTGCTCTTCTGCAAGCTTGTTTAGCCTCTTCTGCAGCTAACAGACCGGTGATGCTCTTGATTGACAATCAGGCTTTGGTGCGGCGGCTTCAGCGAGGCATTAGCACTGGCCGTTGGGAGGGTGACTTGCCGCTTTTCTGGCAGCGGATCAGCGGCTTATTGATTCAGGGCACTGTTTGCACTTGGATCCCTTCTCACAACAAGGTGCCTGACTGGACACCACCAGATGGTTGGATTGATGTTCATCTCTGCCGCGTTCTCAATGCGACAGCCGATGCTCAGGCAGGTGAGGTGTTGCGTGACTCACGCTCCATGATCGCTGCGGCTGTGCAGCGACATCAGCGAGCCGTGGCTTGGGCTGCAGCAGTTTGGCGTCTGCAGAGGCTACGGACTTTACCTTTTTGGCAAGTCGTACTTGATCAACAAACATTCCATGCGGAATGCTAGCTGGCGCACTGTGTTTACTTCTTTTTTATTTCAGGCAGGTTTCGCTTCCTTTGAGTTTTGCTTGGAGAAGTATGGGAACTTGATTCTCGCAGATGGCATACTATGGCGTCTTAACTACTTCACTTCGGTGAGGAGCAGGTTGACGTCCGCTTACAACAACAACAACAACAACAACAACAACAACAACAACAACAACAACAACAACTCCGTTTCAACGCATCTGGTGCTGTTTTGAGCAGTCGGTTGCTCTGACATCCCAGCGAGAAAAACGGATGTTGCTAGACATCGCCACTGCCGATACAGAGTCTGCTGCAGTGATAACTGATGGCGCCACCAAATTCGACTTGGCCGAGAAAGCTAAGACAATGTATCGAAAAATTGCAGGCTATGAAGATAGTGTGAAAGCTCATAGGGAGGCCACTTTTCCGATCCATTTGATCTTGCAAGCATTGACAACGATTGATGTCAAGAATGCATTTGCATCAGAGCCTTTAGACAAGATCAGGATTCTCAACACCATTTGCAGATCGAAAACTCTTGAGGATAAGCCTCCTGAGACATCTGAGTTTTATGACGAAGTTGATTCTGGACTGCGCTCCATTTTTGCCTTGGCTGCTTTACCTGCATGTGCCAAGGGCGGCTTGACCAAAGAGCTTGAAAGCATTGCTACTGTGCTTCAAAAAGACACTATGGACCGCGAATCTTTGCGACTTGGAACACCATCTTCAGTGTTTGTTATTGTTTGTTTCTACAAACTTTGCCCATGGGTTGCACTTGTTTGCACTTGTTTTCATTTGTTCCACCACAATACAGCAACTCTTGTTCCAGACCTTCAGCTTTGACAGGAATTTGAACCTCACAGACATGAAGCAGCTGACGGATGATCTACTGGAAAGATTAGCGCCAACTCTACCTCCCAAGCTCCAAGAACTTACTTTGCACCTTGCAAGATGCGAACAAGTGACAGACATAGGTGTCAAGAGAATTTGTGCTTTCATTCCCAAAGCATTGACTTTTTTGATTTTCTCCCTTCATGGATGTCAGATCACAGACGTGGCGCTTGCAGAGATTGCACGAGCTCTGCCGTTTTCAATGAAGCGCTTGAGATTGAGCTTCGGCCTTTGCAACTCCATAACCAATATTGGACTTCAAAAGTTGGCCATGCCACCGAACCTGACGTTTCTGACATTGGATTTTGATGGCTGCCCTCAACTTGGAGATGATGGCCTCGTTGCAATCATCAAAACCTTGCCCACAAGCTTAGAGACTTTAAATCTGAATCTCATGGGCTGTCATGGCGTGGGTAACAAGAGTCTAAAGGCACTGTCTCAAAAAAAACTTCGTTTGCATAAACTTGACCTTTGCTGCTTCGCATGTCACAATGTGAGTGACGATGGCGCGTCAGTTTTAGCAGCAAATCTTCCGAAAAGTCTGCAGCGCTTTGCCCTGGACCTGAGAGGAACACAGGTCACAGAGACGGGCATCGCTGCGATGGTCACAGAAAATTTGAAAGAAGTTGATTGGTATTTTCAGACCAATGACATCACCAAGCACATTGATTCCTTGCAAGAGCTGCGGGAATGGCACAAACTGCAGAAACCTTTAGCAGGCGCAGCAGGTCCTGCCCTGCGCAAGACGAAGAAGCAGTGATTGAAACATTCAAAGGAATCTTGGCTCAAATCGCAAAGCGAGATCGCCGTGCAGAATGGATTGCGCGAGAGGGAGGGAAGGTGAGTTTTGGATTGAGATATTGAAATAGTTGAAATTGTTAGCACTTTCCGACCTGTTGAGAAATTTTGTTTGAGGCCCGTGGCGCTTCACTGCTTTATTAGGAAATGACAGTGAACCGATTGGATTATGTTCATGTCCACTCGGTATTGCAGAGCGTTTGTTCAAGCCAACAACCAAATTTCTGGTTGACAACGTTGCCAAGCCATTCCTTAATATACATATTATATAATATTAAATATACATCATCTATATGTGAAACTTGACCCTCTACAGACCTTGTATGCTTTCTACTGCAAAGTGTGTCTTTGACCTGCCGTCCAAAGTAAAACATGCTTGTACAATTCCAAAGGTCCAACATAGCCATGTTTTTCCCTTGCTCTTTCGCGATTTTTGTGGCCAGCTTTCTGTCAGTTCCTTAGTTGCCGTGGTGCTGGAATCCTGGAATCATGTTTTTGCCAACTCAGTTCTGTTAGTTCCTTCATCGTTTGCAGAGGCCAGTTGGCAGCTTTGATTTGGCTGATACAGATTCTGCAACTTGGTCTTGAGAGCTGGTTCAGCCCATGGGATTCCGCGGGCATAGCTTGGGTCTAAGTGCATTGCCACAATATCCACTCCAAATGCTGCAGGTGTGCGATGACACAGAGATTTCTTTGAGACAGCTTCGGGCGAGGCCGAACTTGAGTTCAGTCTCACTGACCAGCTGTCAGATTCATGCCAACAGAGTCTAAGGTATGCAAAGGTGGTGTTCGCTGCCTTCATTTGCATAGAGTTGTCACATTTTTGGGCGATGATATCCGTTTAGTTTATCATAGTTTATCATACCCCGGCACATATAGAACATGTCGTGTTCTTCGTGGGGCCAAATCTGATGGCACTCCAGAAAGTGCCTGGGTTCAACTCTTCCCTGTAGGCAGTTGACGAACACAACTGAGGGTACTGATGGTGCCTAAAGCTCAGCATCACCCAATCATAGCATGCATGTGCAGTGTCCTGTGCAGAGTCCATGCTTTGCTTTGGCGCGATGAAATTCCATTGAGATGAGCTAGATTCCAGCTAGATGAAGTGCTTGAGGCAGATCAAATGAGAAGTGGAGTATGATGAAGTATGAAGTGTCCCATAGTGTCCCATAGTGTCCCCATATTTCCCCATCCAGATTTGGTTTGTGGACGACCAGATGGGCTTCGGCCCAGGCCTGTGGTGGCCTGGAAGATCCACGAAATGCCGATTGTGCTGAACAAGTGCAATGGGCCTTTGAAAAGGGGCTCAAACAGCACCCAGGCAGGGCCTCGACGTGAGAATTGTGACAAGAATATGCTGATGCTAAAGGATGCTAAAGGATGCTAAAGGATGCTAAAGGATGCTAAAGGATGCTAAAGGATGCTAAAGGATGCTAAAGGATGCTAAAGGATGCTAAAGGAATAATGCCATTAAAGCAATCACCACAACGTCTCGATCTATTTCGGATAGCAGTCAACTGCTTCCGCGCTCAAGCTGGGTGCGGGGCAAACACCCTAACGCAGTAGTTTCACTTTCATTTTCTCTGTCTGAAACACTGACGATTCCCATGTTTCCAAAGGGCTGAAACACTCATGCTGAAGGCTGGTACTTTGTCCCATTGGGCACCATCAGCCGAACTGGCCCAAGCGATGCCAAGATAGGTGACCTGCAGCAACTTGGAAGCAACACTGCGTGTTACGAGTCAAACGTATTAAGAGAGGGACCTATCTGGTCATATCTGATATATCTGGTCAGACACGTTAAACACTAACACTTGGATAAGTTGAGTGAAACTTCAGAAGGTCAGGGTCTCACCTCGATCTCAGGCGCATTTTCTTTTGTGGCCGGGCTGGCAAGACAAGGCTGGTCATTTGCATTGAGTCAAGATTGTCATGGCACGCTGCGCATGTGAGGCCTCATGTGTGATGTGATGTCTGGTGATGTCTGGTGATGTCTGGCCAGGTGTGGGTTGCCGCCCTGCACCTGCACTTCACCACCCTGCAACGTTTGCGAAGCGCCCGAGTTAGCGCCGAAACTCTCCAAGGCGGACTCTTGCACCATGACCATTTCCTCTCTACGGACTGGCCACAACACAAAAACACAATTGATGTTTTACGAAGTTGAAGCGATGCAGGACTTTGACATCCGAAATGAAGGGCCATGACAACGAAATGGCATAGTTACCCATACTTGGCATATCGGATTGTGGATTTGTCTGCAGGCCTTCACACGCATCAAGCGGTTTGACTTTACAGGCTCATTCAGGGAGCGGAGGCAATTGCAACAGGCATTGTGTCTTTCTTCTGCCCTGCTTTCAAGTAAGAACTACTAGCTGACTCTAGCTGCCCGTTCTGATTTCTCATTCAGGTGATGCCAAGAAAGAATTTGACGTAGTGCAGTCTCTTGGTAGCAAGAAGTCGTCACGGTTCCACAGAGAGCTGATTGAAAGAAGCTGCAAGTACCTTTCTTGCAGCTCTGTCATCCACATTCATCCACCCCCAAGGATTCCTGACCAGAATATGACCCACTCCTGCTCCAACTACGTGGATGACGGATCAACAGTCTTCACGAAAGATGGAAAGCTGGTCGTGAAGGTGTCCTCTGCATGTCCAGATGGAACGTGCTTGAATTCAGGCTGGGCACCGAGAAAACATATCATGTCGCCTCATGTCACACCATATCACACCCAAAAGTGACGGAAAGAGAGAGGTTTTTGAGAAGCCCGCTAAGTTTTCTCTTGAAGAAACAACATAAACAACTACGTTTGTTGATGTGAGTTCAGCTTCTTGTGCCTTCCAATCCTTGTGGTGCAGCTTAGGACGTGCCATGAGCAGGGACGCATTCACCTACGGTTGCCCGGCCAACTCTGGAGTTTGGTTGAAGGCTTGACTGACCGTGTCTGAAGATCATGAGATATCATGACACAATGTGGCACCACGTGTGAAGATTGTAGAGGAAATGTATTTAGAGGAAATGTCTGTGGAACATTGAAGAACATTATAACTGAGTTATATTGCTAATTGATTTATTTTACTGAAGTAGCATGTTGGTTTTCTGTTCACTCGCAGTCACTGGGTGCTGGAATGATGCCAATAACTTTCTACCATCTTTCAAAAGTGAACATAGATTCACCGTCACAACTGAAATGTTGGCCAGTGCCAGTGCCTGCCACATCCGTCCACTCTTTTGCCTCGTTCCTCTGCTTGGTGTGGCTTTGGACCGTGCGGATTGACTCGCACCCACTTGACCAGAGGGACAAGTGGACTATGATGACTATGGCAGATTTATGCTTGTGCAGCCTCTTTCGCAAATGGTTGGATTCCTGCGACATTCGAGCTGCAAGCGGACTTTTTTTTTGTCAAGAATCCTTTTTGTTCAACTTCGGATTTGCTTTGCCGACTTCGGTGGGGGGCCCTTCGTGGAGGATCAAATGAGTGTAACACCAGCTTGAGGTGCCTGGACCTCCTTGCGTGTGCATTTTAGTAGTTTCACTTTGACAAGATTTTGTTTCTCCTTTCACAAGCAAAGTGTTCAGTTTGAAGCAAGGAGTGGCATGTTGTTGCACATTTCTGTTTGAGTAACCAGCTGTCAGAGTGGATGCGTGGCATGCTGGAGAGCGCCAACAGGCATCCAAAGGCAGCAAGGGACATCAAGGGACATCAAGGGAGGGATGTCAAAAGACCAAGGTGTCTTCACTTTTTCAGCGAAAGTACCAAAGTGCAACTCTGTTTGGCCTGCTCTGCGACTTGGCAGCAAGGTGCGACCCATTGCGACCCTAGCCCTAGCGTTGGGATGAGAATGAGACCTGAGAACAACCCACTTCTCTAATTCTGTTGTCCTTATCGGACTTGGATCATTGACATATCAACATCTCCACAACAGCAACAATCTCTTCAAAGTATTGACCAGAGTTTCCCAGTTGAGCCAAACTAAATCATGTAGAATTCAACATATGGATCAATCATAACCCAACATATCCAAACATATCCAAACATATCCAAACATGTTCCAAGTTTCTGAGGTGGCTTTTGCCCGAAAATTCCAAGGGCGACGGGAAATATGGCCCTTGGCCTTGCAGTGGCGAGATCGATCTGTTGGACAGGGGACACCGGCAGAGTTGGATCGACAGTAACTGTTTTGACTGTTTAAAGATGTTTAGAAAGATGTTTAGAAAGATGTTTAGAAAGATGTTTAGAAAGATGTTTAGAAAGATGTTTATAGAACAGTTTTGGGTGTGATGCAAAGCTGACGAATCCAACATCCGAAGAATGTCTTCCAAATGCTTTGCAAACGCATCACAGAACAAGAGCAACAATCAACTTTGCTGTGTCTTTGTTTTGAGTTCAGATGCTTGTACTAGGTTTGGCAGTGTTGAGTTAGCGATATAACATGATATAACTTGTTTGTGATGGTTTGCGGAGTGGTTTGGCCGTGTGGATTCCATGTCGTTTCCATGGATTGAGGAGACGGTGAACGATGATTCCCACGGTGCCTTCAACCTGGTTGCGATCTCAGCCGCATTGCCAGTCACGGCATGTCCTGGGCGAATCCGATTCCGTTTTTCTCCAAGGTGGCAGGTTTCGGATCGCGCGGCGGGTGCTACGACCCCGCGGCCGTGACGTGCAACGCCTGTGCTCCGCCCAGCTATTGCACCAGCACCACCTTGGCAGATGCAGAAGCATCGCATTTGATGGTGGAAGAGCCTTGTCAAAAACGAAATATGATGAAAATTTATTATGTCTTGAATTGTCTTGATTTATCCTAGTGTAGCTTAATGAAATGTAGGTTACGGAATGGAATGTTGCGTTAACGATTCTATATTGAACTGGCTGTTACTCGTAGCCATCTTAGCTCAAGGGCGCAACCACGGGCCCTGAGATACCCCCTCGGCTATGGCAGGCTGGGGGGAGAAACCAACAGAGAGCGTTGGTTTAAGTTCAGGTTTGAACTGGACCAGCTGCTCGAATGCGCTGTGAGGGACGAAAGTGGCCATACCCAGGGCGCGATCCTGATTCTGATCAAGGAGAAGGTGGAGACAGGACCGATGGCCACTTTGCGTTTGCAAAGTACATCAGCGCTTCGGACCCCCACTACCGATGGTGGGCGGAGACGGGGCCAGGAAAGGGCCTTCAGGGCCGGGCTCTGTATCACTTTTGTGATGGAAACAGCTCGGAGTGTGGAGCTAAGCGTGGTCGTCAGCAGGTCAGCCACGTGGAGAAGTTTCGGCCGATCACAGAAGCCATGGTCACGGCCAAAACCCCCTCCTGGATGTTTGGAAGGAGTTGTTACAACGCGGTGCAGCCCTACTTGAGTGGCCTGCCGAAGGTCGCTGCTGAGCGTGAGACGGGAGAGTTACCCTGGGCCAGCCAGGAGGAAGAAGATGACAGCAGTCAACATGATTCCTCTGAAGAAGACGGGGAAGATCTCAAGGAGAAGGTCACTCGGTTGAAAAAGAGTCTGGCTGCCGCTGAAAAGAAGGCCAAGGCGGCTGAAGACAGAGCTGCCGGTGGCATTACCTCCAAGAAGGAGAGAGCAATAGAGAAGAAGAAGAAGAAGAAGAAGAAGAGCCGCAAAGGGGCGTTGCGCACGGGCGATGACCGCGACAAGGAGAAAGAGACAAAGCGGAAAAAGCGGAAGAGCCAGGAGCGAGCTGGCGACGCCTCGCGCGGAAGATCAGGACCTGGCTCTGCCAGAGACAAAAAGAAAAGGCACCGCCGGCGCTCACCCAGTGATAAGAGTGCCAAGAAGGAGAAGAAGAAGCACAAGGCCCGGCAGAGAGAAAGAGGATCATCGTCTGCCGAGCGTGAGGGCCTCTTCGGGGACAAAGGCAGTGGCTCTTTTGATGAGTCTGACTCCGAAGTCGGAGGCCGTCACGCTGACAGGGGACCATTTGGGGCCGCCGAAGTGCTTCAAATGTTGGGCTCCAGAAGTTCACCTGCTCCCACGCATCGGCTACGACGGCCGTAAGGCTGACGTGTGGGCAGCGGGAGTCTGCTCGCACGAGCTGATTTGCGGATCGTATCCCTTCCGGGGGCGTTCAGCGCTCGAGCAACAGAACGGGATCACGCTGAACGAGATGCAGAGGTTGGCTGCCAAACCGCGGCCGGAAGCAGTGAGGAACTGCTTCCGGCTGAAATTGAGGCGCAGCGAGAAGAAGCGGCGTTGTTAACCGCTTTGGCCGAAGCAGGGCCCAGTGCCTCCGCAGCGCCCACGCTCACAAGCGCATCCGTTGCAAGCCAGACGAACGTGTCTGGCTTGCTTGCGTTGCAGCTGAACAATTTGCAGGTCTTGGAGGCTTCGTCTCCCCATCTGTGGGAGGCACCAATTGACCAAACCGTTCAATGTGACCTCGACGCCTCATTAATTCCAGAGCTGGTAGAGGCGATGGAGAGTTTTGAGCTGCAGCGCATGCGACAAGAGGATCATGTTTAAATCGCATTGCCCTTGAACGCCCCCAAGCAGGGCAAGATCCTTGGATGCTGTGCAGAAAGACCCGAAAGACTTGTGAAGGGTTTCCGGTAGATATGGCCGATCGCACGGATTGTGTTGCGCTCTCGTCGCATGGCAGGTACATCTAAGAATTGGATGCTGGTGGTTCTTTTCAAGCTCTCCCCGATGACGGCACTTCAGTTCAGATTTTCTTTTTTTCAGGTACGGCCGGGCGCCTTTGGTGGACCTGCCAAACTTCAACCTGTCCGGCTTCTGAGCGTCCGAGCGCGAGCGTCTCATTTTTTCACCACGGTCCAATGGTAGCTAACCTTTAACCCAGGCCCGGCACTTGGGTTTCATTTACAAAACATGTCGACCCATCACATCAACCAAGCCCCTGTGATGAACAAATTTTCGATGAGATCCATTACTATTTCATATTTTTGCTGATCAACTACCTCAAAGTTTTTAAACTTTCTGTTCATTTTCATGGGTGATACACTCCCCTGTAAAAAAAACATGTTGGACACGTAGCAGCCTCGATCGCAGCAATGCAAACCCCTAGGTTGGAGCGGATTCCGGATGCGCTGGCTTTTTTTCGAGAGGCAAAGTAAAAGGGGAACACATGGAGCCATGCAGCAAAATATATGGAACAAACATGAACAAACATTGAATTTCAAGTATGGATTTATATAAGTAAATGTGCCATTTCTTCAGAGTATAGTTATATAAGTTTTATAGACATTGTTACCGTTCAAATCCCAGTGTGCAAAATGTACGGCAGTTTTGATGTTGGCTTGTGTTGTACTCGTTGAACTTGTGAATCTCAGAGTTGTTTCGTTCACATCGCAGGTGTTTAGCGGTCAACAACTGGTTTTGTTCACATCAGCTGCTTGTCCAGGGGAGAAGCATCAAAAAAAATATAAATGCATCAAAAAAATATAAATGCATCAAAAAAATATAAATGCATCAAAAAAAAATAAATGACCATGAAGAAAGGAGGGAAGGAGGAAAGGAGGGAAGGAGGAAAGGAGGGAAGGAAGGAAGGAGGGAAGGAGGAGAAGGAAGGAAGGAAGGAGGGAAGGAGGAAAGGAGGGAAGGAGGAAAGGAGGGAAGGAGGGAAGGAGGGAAGGAGGAAAGGAGAAAAGGAGGGAAGGAAGGAAGGAAGGAAGGCAGGCAGGCAGACAGGCAGGCAGGCAGGAAGGAAGGAAGGAAGGAAGAAAGGAAATAAGGAGGGAAGGAGGGAACGAGGAAAGGAGGGAAGGACGAAAGGAAGGAAGGAAGAAAGGAGGGAAGGAGGAAAGGAGGGAAGGAGGAAAGGAGGGAAGGAAGGAAGGAGGGAAGGAGGAAAGGAGGGAAGGAGGAAAGGAGGGAAGGAGGAAAGGAGGAAGGAGGAAAGGAGGGAAGGAGGAAAGGAGGGAAGGAGGGAAGGAGGGAAGGATGCAAGGGGGGAACGAAGGGAAGGAAGGAAGGAAAGAAGGAAGGAAGGATCATGTGTGCAGTCAACACTTGCAGCTTGCAGCCACCACGGGCAGCGTGCAAAGTGCTGCTGAGCTGCTAGAGCTGAGGGGGTTCCAAAACTATTTTCTGGCCTTGTTCGGGCCTCGTTTTGGCATCGTTTTTGGCCTCGTTCGGAACCCGTTGCAGAAATACTGAGTTGAGATGCAAGTCAGAGCCACATAGATTTGTGACCAAAACATACCAAAACATACATGAACCATGCGCTCACATTTTGTTTTGAGACTTGTGCCTATGTGCTTCTCTGTTGGTACGCATTGCGGGGGGAGGCGCTGCGCCCTCCCCCCTGCACCCCCCCACCCGCTTTTATTTTTAAACCGGTTCCCCTTGCTACCTACTATTCCTTTCTTTTTGCATAAGCATCATCGTTTATTTGGGTTAATTTCAATTTCATCTTTGCTGATATCCATCGAGACTTGTGCCTGTGTTTTTCTTTCTTGATCTTCTACTTCTCTCGTTCTTACTTGCAATATATCCATTGAGACTTGTGCCTATGTGCTTCTCTCTTGGTACGCATTGCGGGGGGAGGCGCTGCGGTACGCATTGCGGGGGGAGGCGCTGCGCCCTTGTTTTTGTTTCGACCTAATACCTACATAGGTACATGCATGAGTATTGAGCACATTTATATGCGCCCTTCAAGGCTCAAGAGGTATATAGAGTCACCCTGTAGACAAGCACGGACCGGCAACAGGCTGAGTAAAACAAGTGCTGTCATTGGGGAAGACGCCTTAGCTGATCTTGAAGTAGACGCTAGGGCCCCTCTTCAAGTGGTAGCGGAGCTGTGATCCCTCATTGAGGGTGAGCTCCAGGTAGAGCCCAAGTAATGGCAAGCCATGGCTATGATGATGATGACTTCGACATTGTCGATGCAAATGAATGGAACCAATATGACTCTTATGCAATGAGAAGAGCACCCCAGCATACACAGATTCATATGACGCAACAGGTGACCACAAAGGTTGCTCCAGCCTATGATGGGCGAACCAGCTTCTTTGCTTTTGAGGATGCAATTGATGACTGGTGTGACATTACGGAGTTAGAACCAGAGAAACGTGGTCCAGCATTGCGCAACAGACTGGAAGGAGATGCTCAACAATACAAGAGGCTATTGGACAGAGAATACTCAGGGATCCCTATGAAGGAGTGGCTTATTTCAAAAGATTTCTACGACCTCATTTCATCAAAGGTGCCCAGAACGTGTTCTTATACCGTTTCATGCAGTTCATGAAGGTCAACAGAGGAACCATGGATCTTCAGAAGTGGATGACTAGATTTCAACTCACTGGCAATAGACTTATTGAGTCTTGGATGGATTTACTTCCAGAAGTAACAGTGACTAGTCCTGAAGCAATCCTGTTTGTTCAACAACGACGTCAAGAACATGAACGAGATCAACAAGAGAGAGCTGAAGTAGCAGCAGCCTCAGGAACACCCCATGTAGCTGTTCCTTGGACAGATGAACTGTCACTAGCGGCATTCAGACAATTTCAGGAAAATCGTAGAGAAGCACAGCGACAAGCATTCCCACTGGGTGAAAATTTGCTAGCATTGATTTTTGTAAGTCTAGCTGACCTGAGTCAAGATCAGAGAAACACACTCACAAGTATCATGACACATCGTGGACGAACCCTCGATCGATACAGTATTCAAGAACTACGTGACCTGTTTTTGGAAATGTTTTGCACTACCAAACAGCAGTTGACAATCCATTGATGCAACCCTCTGGCATGGCACAGAGAAGATCTTTCCTCGTACTGGATGAAGGTGAATTAGAAGGAAC